ATATAATAAGCTTTTAAAGTAAAAAACTTTTATTAGAAATAGAACTAGACTGGAATTAACTAAAGAGGAACTAAAGAACTATTAAGCTAATAATAGGAAATTCGAGAATATTATTAAAGGTATTTCTAAAAGTAAATAAGAAAAGCTTAATAAGATTAAGACTATAGTAAATAGTCTTAATACTAAGAATTAGAATGGAATTATATTATATAATAAAGCCTTTAGCCAATATATTAATAATATTTATAATAATCTTAGTAAAAATATTTATAAGAAGTTATATTCTCTTTTTAAAATAAAAGCTTTAGTATATAAAGCTATTTAGTTAATTAATAAAGCTATTTTAGAGTATATTAAGAATAAGAAATATTAGAATACTAGTATATTTACTAAATTAGATATTACTAAGGTACTTAAGTATACTAAAGCTATTTCGGAACCTAGAGAATTAGTTTTTAAATTACTATTAGCTAATAATCTTAAAGCTAGATAATATATCTTTAATAATTCCGGAATTCTAATTAAGAGAATTTATAATAATAAACCTTTTCCTGCTTTTTGAAATAAGTCTAAAGAATAGGCCCTTATTATAATTTTAGCTTTAACTTAATTAGATCTAGCTAATAAGAATAAAGCTAATTTAATATAGTCTAGTAATAAATCTACTAGTAAGACTAGTAGAATTAGTATAACTAGATAAGAAGAACTTAATAAGAATAAAGAGTAAGCTAAGCCTAAGATTCCTAAAAAAAAATAAAAAAAATAGTAAAAATCTAAGTACTAGTCTAAATAGAAGGCTAGTAAAATAAAGGAAAATAAAGAGAAAAGCAAGAATGAATTCTTTATTTTAAAAGAAAAAATATTATTTAGAAAGATTCCTATATTTATATCTAGAACTAAGAAATAAAAGACTAAGGATATTAAGTTCGAAAAACTTAAAGAAAATATCTAATATACTTATAAGATACTAGCTAAATAGAAGTTAATACTTGCTTAGTAAAATAAGTATACTTTTAAAGAAATATATAATAGTATTTTGGGACCTATTTATAAGTAAGAATACTATAGGATTAATAATAGATTTCTTAAAGCTCTTTATATAATATATATTTAATAGCTTATTAATACTTTCTTTATTAATATACGAGATATTAAGGATATTCTAAAGCTAGTTACTAAGATCTATAAAGTTACTAAAAGCAAGAAGTATATTTCTATTACTTGGGTAAATAAAGAGATATAGGATTTCTTTTTTAAGATTTAGGAAATTAAGAAATATAAATATAAGTATTATATTTCTAATTAATTCCGCCCAAATCTATAGCTCTAATTTAATACTATAGTTTTTATTCCTGAGTCTAGTACTACTAATTTGAATATAAATAGCTATATTTATAAGAAGAATTACCTAAAGTAAATTAAGAAGCTTAGTATTTAAGAACTCTTAATAAAGAAAATAGAAATATTATAGTTTTATTTCTAAAAAGATAATATATTAAAGTATAGAAATCTAGATAATAGTTACTTTACTTTAGTCTCTTAATTCTTAATAGTAAATCTATTAATATAGCTCGGATTTTATAAAGTATTAAATAAGTACTTTATTTATCTAGTTATTTATTTTTAGCTAGCCCGATATTATATTTCTAGAAATATTAATTATAATTAGTATAAAAGTAATACTAAAGATCTAGCTATTATTAAAGCTTTAAATAGCAAATTTTACCTTAGTAAAAAGTATTAGAATATTAGCTATATTTTTCTTACGAATTATAAAAAGGCTACTATTTTTAATAAGAAGTTCTTTAAAGATATTAATTATTTCTTTATTTCTAATAAATTTAAACCAGAAGTAGCTAAGGAAATAAGTAAGTATTTACTAAAGATAATAGGAGAAAAGATTTCAAATATAGTCTATTTAACTAGATAAATAAATACTTTTAGCTAGGTAATCTATAAGTCTGAAATTATAGATAAGTAATAATTCTCGAATAATATAGAAGTTAAAGAATAGCTTAATAATAATTTATTACTTAATAGGCCTTTTACTATAATTCTAATAAGTCTAGTTACTATTAAGAACAGAATATATAAAAATAAAGTTTCCTATAAGGTTATTAAAGCCTCTTATCTAGAGCTTTTTCTTCCTATTAAAGATTAATTTAAAAATATTATAGATAATACGAAATTTAAAAAAGCTATTTATTTAAAGTATATTAGTATAATTTATAATATAATTTACTATAATAAGCCTTCTTAATACCTAGTAATAAAGGCAGAAATCAAATAATAGTTAAAGGTAGATACTAATTAATATAAAGAACTATATTGAATTTAGTATAAGAATATAATTAAGTGAATTTGAATTACTTTTAAGTAAGTTCAGAAATATAAAATAAGACTATTTAAGAGTAATAAGTCTTATTTTAGGTATATAGAGAAGAAATTAGATTAGCTAATAAAGGAGGATTCTAATTACTTTATTATTTCGGATTCTAAATAGGATTTTTCTATTATTTTTAGTACTTAGGAAATAAGTATAAATAAATAAGAGATCAGATATAGTATAGCAGGCTATAGTCTTTAAAAATTATATTATTTTAGTGGTTTTAAGATTTAGATTATATAATAAAAGCCTCGGCCTTTTATATATAACTTGCGGAAATTATATAAGAAAGCTGGTTTTTCTATAGTTCTAGAGAATAATTCCTTATAAGTATTTAATTAATTAAGCTTTTATATACTATATACTATTTATATTTTATTATTTATACTTTTAATTTATTATTTTATTATTAAGTCACATTTTATATTCTAGTATACTTTATATGGGTTTTTGTCTTATTATAGTTTCTCTCCTATAATAGCCTTTAATTAATACTATAAGAAAAGAAAATAAATTTTAAATTATATTAATTCTTTATAAATTAAATTAAATTAAAGAAAAATCTAGAGTTTTAGTATTTCTATCTAAGTATCTCTACTTTGAGTTAGTAGCTAGTCTGGCCTCTAATTAATACTTAGGGAAGGTAATAGTTAAACTTAATATTATATTAAAGAGGCCCTTTCCTTTAGTTAGGAAAAGTAAGTTATTCCGGGAAAGCAAGATATCCTATACTAGCTATTACGAAACCGGGTCTCTAGGCTTAGAAAGCAAAATAGAGTAGCTTTTAATCCGAGGATTCTAAACTAAGAAGAGAAGCTTATAGTTATAGAAGCTTGGTATTCTAAATATTATAGCCGTATATGTTATTATATGGTTATATAATACTAAATTTACTAGTAAAGTAGTAGAGTATAATACTAGCCTTTTTTGCTTTCTAAAAAAACAATACTAGAAACTAGCTATAAAAAATCTAATTAATATATTTTATTTATAATTATATTATTATCTATTCTATACTTAAAGGCTAAAGTTTTAAATAAAAGAATAAAAATTTGTAATTAAATAAAAGTTATAAGTCTAATATTTGCAAAATAATTATAAATAAATAATTTTTATAATTTTTGTATTTCTTGTAATTTTATTATTAAAACCTTAATAACTTTTTACTTATTTCTTTTTCTAAGATTTAGAGAATTATATCTAATTTATAAGGCTTATATTTTTAATTCTATTACTTAGAATTATTTAAAAAGATTAAGGTTTCAAGTTATTAAGAATTTTATTTAGTATGAGATATCTTGCTTTCTCGGAATAACTTACTTTTTCTAATTTAAGGAAAAGGCCCTTTTAGTATAATATTAAGTCCGATTATTATCTTCCCTGAATATTAATTAGAGGCCAGACTAGCTACTAACCTAAAGTAGAGATACTTAGACAGGAATACTAAAACTCTGGATTTTTCTTTAATTTAATTTAATTTAATTTATAAAGACTTAATATAATTTAAATTTCATTTCATTTTCTTACAGTATTAATTAAAGGCTATTAAAATATAAAGTTTCTATAAAATTTGGATTAGAAATAGCTCTTTAAATTAAAGAAATTAAAAATTCATATTTTATAATATAAAGGTAAGCTTAATAAAGCCTAGAAAGTTAGCGGATAAGTCCCTAAAACCAGATATAAGAGCCCTATAAGCCTATAATTTATAGGGCCTTATAAGGCTCAAAAATTAGAACTTAATTAATTAGTATATAAATTCCCTTAAATTAAAGAGCTTAGGTAGCCAATTACAAGTCGTTAATACCCCTGCCCTAATCGACTCCCCTAATAGACTCCCCCGGCGGGGGCCGTTGTTTTACATTTCCCCCATTCCCCCCGTAAATCTGAAGTAAGGCGGACCAAGTTCTCATTTGGGTAAGAAAACATTTTACTAGTGGGCCCGCGAGTCAGAAATTATTGGATTTTATTCTTGAACTCGAAGACTTGATCACAATAATCATCGACGAGCATGGCATACATAGTCACGAAGTCATAGAAAGCATCTTGTCTCCTGATCAGATGAGAGGGGGTGATGTGGTGTGTGTTTTGAATGATATGGATGTGCCTTTGGTGCTTAGAAAGCTGGGAGAAGGCTTTGAAGTTATTGGCGATGTATATGTGCATGGTAGTATGGATGGCGAAGCTATGGATGCAGGCAAGGAGGAGGAGATACACTCATGTGAGAACATCGGGGATTATAGTACGGCTAGTAACATCGAGTGAGACTTCTAGAAAACTGAAAGACAAGACAACGGGTTCATACTGGGATAACGCTTGTACTTTCTAACCCCAAGAAAGAAAGCCCAAAAACCTGTGCGCGTAGCTAAACATCTGATTGGAAGTGGTTATATTAAGGCAGAAACCCCAGTACCTAGGTACAATGTTTGCCTCAGTCCACCTTGCATCCACTTGCATTAAAAACACAGCCTCACCAACTGTCACCTCAAACTTCAATCATGTCCCTCTTCTATCAATAAAAAGCCGTATCTTGGTGCCCTCAACCCGTCAAAGATACACAATACGGTTGCTATATGTTGAGGCGACATTGCGAAGTTCTTCCATCTTGATTACTACCCTGCTTCTTGAACTTCACAATACCAAAGCCCGCAACTGGCTCGCGCTTCACAGCCCTACGATACCTTGACTTGACTTTGACTTGGTCGACATGGCGGATACTCCTCTTCGGACTAGAAAGCGAGATAAGTTCAAAAAGAAGCTGGGGCTCGATTGGTCTGTGTGCCGAGAAACCCCTCAGCAGTCTCCTCATATCAGGGCCTCAAGTAATGTAAGATTACCTGCGAGTTCAGATACTTCAAGCCCTGCGGCTGCGAATGCTGTGAGCTCGAATTCTGATGCCGCGGGTTTGACTTCTTTGAATACTGGGCTCCCAAATACGACGGATTCGCGTCCGATTTCTGCATCTCGAGAGACGTCGCCCGATCCAGGAGGGGCACCGGGATCTCCATCCAACCATCCCAGCAATACTATTTCTTCAGGGCCTGCAGTTCCCATTCTTACACACCCTCAAAACAGCAGCCAAGACGCCATGCCACCAAGCACGAGCAAACCTCCAACTCGGGATCTGTGGGCAGACGCCCTCAAGAACCTCTCACCTGATGACCGGGAAGCCATACAGCGATTTCAGCCCACCTCAAATACTCAGCAGCCATTGGCCGAGACGATGGAAGAGTTGCTTCACATGACCAGAGAAGTGCAAGCTAAGTGCAAAGCAAAGGTGTATAAAATTCCATTCGGGGGAAAAGATGTCATCTTGAGAGATGTTGCTGGAAAGATGATCTTCTGGTTAAACAAGTTCAAGGACATCGGTGATATTGCTGTGAATTTCGACCCCATTCATGCAAGCCTGCCATGGGCTGGGGTCAGACTTTTGCTTCAGGTGCGTTATGTCTACTTAATGGAGAGTATTGCTAAATCATTGAAAAGGCAGCGACTGCAGAGCACGAACAAATGGGAGACCTAGTATTTGCTTCCGAGAAGCTCTCCTGCTTGATCAGTCGTGGAGCAATATATGAACGACTGTACCAGCCTAGAACAATACCTAAAGACATCATTGCCAACCTTCACCATGCACTCATTAGGCTTTATGCTGCAATACTTCGAATGATAGTATTATGTCATAGATTGTTTCTCAAAAATACCGCCAAACGAGCGCTGCACGCTTTCTTCAATCCCGGTGATGTCAAGGCTGAGCTTGAAGAAAGCGAAAAGCTAGAGGCGCAAGTCGAATACGAAGCCAATAATTGTGAGCGTGCGCGCAGTCAAGAAGCAGACGAAGAAAGCAAAAAGATGCTCCACTTCCTACAGCAGCCTATTCTTCGCACTGACGAGAACGTCTTGAGTCTCTTGGAAAAAGTGGGCGAAAAGGAACGACTGGAGGTTCTTGACTGGCTCTCAAAGGTGCTCTATGGCAAGCATCATAAAACGGTAAAGGAAAGGCGCACGGCCAATACATGTGGATGGCTTCTTGATCACAGCCGATACCAGAAGTGGCAAGAAGCAAGTGGATCGATAGTTCTCTGGCTGTGCGGCACGGGTGAGATAAAAACCGCAAACTCTGCATGGATATTGACTAATCATTCTTTTGAACTAGCGGGGACTGGCAAGACCTTTCTCACCTCAAGAGTTATTGACGAAATCCAAGCTGGCCTCCAAAGCAGCCCCAATCAAGAAGGCTTCGCGTTCTTCTATTGCAATAGAAACGAAACAGAGCGTCGAGAGCCATTATCAATGTTGAGAGCCTTTATCCGGCAGCTATCGACCATCAACCACCAATCGCACTCAATCCAGAAGTGTATCAAGGGTTTCTACAATGAATGTCGACTCAAGGCCTCCGAACCGACTATGGGTGACTGCAAAGAGCTCCTGCTGGAACTAGTCAACATATACCCCCGCACCACTCTTGTCGTGGATGCTCTTGATGAATGCGAGAAGCACAAACGTTTTGAATTGATCGAAACGCTTGACCATCTTTTAGCCAAGGCTTCAAATCCTGTCAAAATATTCGTTTCAAGTCGGCCAGATGGTGATATAAGAGAGAGGTTGAAGGATCGTGCTAATATCGAGATCAATGCAACAGATAACCAAGACGATATCTCTATATTTGTTAACAGCGAGATTGTCAAGCACAGAAGATGGACGAAAATGCCGGTAAAACTTAAAACTCGGATTGTGGAGACACTACAGCAGCAGAGCCAGGGAATGTGAGTCTTCAGTCACACTTTCGGTTTTTTTTTTATTTTTTGAAAAAGAAACCTAACACATCACAGGTTTCAATGGGCTTTCTTGCAAATCAAGCAGATATTGGAATTGCAGCACCCTGGAGAGATTGAGAAGCGATTAGGCAAACTTCCTAAAGACCTCAAACTCGCATACGATGAGATCTACAACGGGATGACTGAATATGAAAAAGAGATCGCAGATCGCGCCTTTCAGTGGGTTATGTGCGCCGCAAAACCTCTCTCTACACAAGAACTCCTTCCGGCATTGTGTCAGGATGGGACTGGCGATACTCTCCTTCCCTTGGATGGTCTTGATGAGGAACTTGCGCTGGAATACTGCCACAATCTCCTAGTCATCGACCCAACACGGAAAGTATGGGTGCCATCCCATCTCTCCGTGATTGAGTATATCGAGGACCACCTGTGGAGTCAACGCCAAGCCAACTCCCTGGTTTCTAGCGTCTGTCTGTTGGCGCTCCAAAACACAGTACTTTGTAATCGAGAGGAAAAGTGGATCATGCCTGACAATATGAGAGGCTCCTTTGACTTTCTTTGGAATTCTCTCTCAGAAAGGAATTTTGACCCGAGCGATCCACTTGATCATTGGGAGTTTAATTTTCTTAGCTATTATGCCAGACATCACTGGACAATTCACGCAAAGAAAAGTGCTGAAAGGGGCAGCAACCAAAGAATATCCACCCTTGTCGACGAGTTCCTTGGACTACCAGCAGATAGTAGTCTTCCATATCGATGTTGGATGAGAATGATATATAAGGAATGCCATGGAATACTACCTTTGACCTCAATTTTTCGGAATTGGGCTCTACCTTTTGAAGGCTTTGGGGAGTGCATGGCAAGCTTCGTGTATTGTGCTTTTGGCCTTGTGGCCACCCTACCTGACTGGCATGATTTCGATTGGGTGGAACAGGACCAAAGAACCGGTCATGGCCAGACCTTTCTAGAGCTTGCAGCACAAGCCGGAGCCGTTCATACTTGTAGGGAGCTCGTTAAGCATGGTGCGGACGTAAATGCCCAGACAAAAAGCCACGACGGGAGTCCACTAGCTGCCGCTATTTCAAACGGACAAGGAAATGTAGTTGAGTTCCTGCTTAAAGACGGAGGAGCAGATGTGAACATGCAATTACCAAATAGTGTGGGTGGAAGTGCACTGGCCAGTGCTTCATTTCAGGGACGGGAAGATATGGTTAGGCTTCTTGTGAAACGAAGAGAAACTGAGGTAAATATGCAATTACAGTATGGAGGTTTTGGGAGTGCGCTAGCTGCTGCTTCATATGGAGGAGAACAAGAGGTTGTCAAATTTCTTATAGGAGGGGGAAGCGGAGGTAAATATGCAATTACAGTACGGAGGTTTTGGGAGTGCGCTAGCTGCTGCTTCATGGCAAGGATATCAAGAGATTATCAAATTTCTTGTCAAAGAGGGGGGAGCAGAGGTAAATATGCAATTGCAGTATGGCCTTTTCGGCAGTGCGCTGGCTACTGCTTCATGGAGTGAACATCGGGAGGTTGTCAAATTTCTTATCGAGGAGGGGGAAGCGGAGGTAAATATGCAATTACAGTACGGAAGTTTTGGGAGTGCGCTAGCTGCTGCTTCATGGCAAGGAAATCAAGAGGTTGTCAAATTTCTTGTCAAAGAGGGGGGAGCAGAGGTAAATATGCAGTTACAGCATAGAAGATATGCAAATGCCCTAGAGGCTGCGGAAGAGATGCACAGGTTCGAGACAGCAGAGCTATTAATTAAGCTTGGGGCTGAACGAAAAGTGGTGGAGGATGAAGACAATGATGAGTCAACCGCTGATGAGGAGCGGGTCTCCTATAACGAGTCAAACTCTGATAATGAGTAGGAAACTTGAGAATCGATGCAACAGAGGAGGTGGAACGTTGAAAAGTTTTGCAGAGTCATTCTTCACCTGAACTTGGAACAGCAACTCTTTCGCGGGAAGCTGCTATTGATATTTCTGAGCCCAGTATCGATGTTAATATAATACCCCTTAAACACCCTAATATCTTTACAACATACCGCCTGTGAATCTGTGATCCGCTGTGCTGGTAGATTGAATACGAGTCCAAAAATAAAGACATGAGCGAAAAAATGCTTCACGAACTCATAAACTCCACATTTCACGCCTCAGCCTTAGTACCTTACACACTATATTAATGATGAGGTCACGAGGACACCCCTTGCGTATAAAGCAGGTCCAACATCTCGCTCTCAAAGAAGGGAAGAAAGAAGACAGAAAGGAAGGATAACGGTTTGAAAGGAGACGGGGAAGTACTTCTTGTCTGCAATGCGCTCGATATGTTGACTGACGATCTCTTGTTGGAAAAAGCCAGGAAACAGTTTTATGTGCAAGAGATACACCCCTCAGCAAATTATGAGTTTAAGGGTAGTGGCAGGAAAATTTGAACAACAGCCTGCCACTTCACAGCAGACTTCTTCTCTCTCTTTCTCACTTCGACTCCCCCTGGTTGAAATCAACAAAATACGGGTCCCAAATTTAAAAATATTCAACAGCACTCGGAACACTGCCTCGAATTCCTGAGACATAAATACAACTCTAATTATAACGTGGAGTCGTAAGTCTTATACAGGATAGATGGTTTGGTGAGGCCCCTTACATCAGGAGTTGAGACAAACCTAGAACAGAATTGGGGAAGAAAGACTGGGAAGGGATACCGTACGGAATTGTACCTTGGTATCGGGTTATATGAATCTGTAATCTCGACCATGCCAGCCACTCAGCCTTCCCCCTGATTTGCAATATCGTAAATCATCTCTAAACATCATGCCTTGCGCACACGCAAAGAAATATTTACGTCGAGTTCGAGTTATCGGCACACGAGAACGCACTCCCTGTTTCTAGTCAGCATATACTTCATATCTCGAAGATAGATACAACACACCAATCGAATGATCAGCATAAGCATTAATAATCAACTGCACCACCCCATACGTTCCACCCACACACAAGAAAGCTCCTAGCAGCGGCAAGAAGCAATGTGCATAATAAAGCGCCTTCTGCGTCAGAGTCCCTTTTCTGTACGCGGCGTGATCATACAGCCACAAGAAGCCCGGAAGCATAATTGCTAGCGGCGCAAAGCAGATACTTCCCGTCAATGCAAGCAAGTAGTTGAAGATTGGAATCGCCTTAGCGAGGATGAATGATAAGGATGCCAAGCCACAAGTGCAAGAGAGCCAGGTCGTCCAGTGAACCCAGGTGTTTTGTTGAAGATGAGGCGAATTCCGCAGGATGCGGACGAAGAGATATTTCGCTGCAACGTGGAGGTAGAGACACGCTGAGACGATCAAGCCGATGAGTCCAACTCCGTAGGCCACCTTTTTGACGACCGGGCCCGCCGAGCCGAGCGAGGGGGATGCAACCCATTGGCCGCACCAACGGTAGACGACGAGGGAGAAGGAGAGGTAGGCTGCTTGCACGATTGCCATGCAGGTATAGAGGGCTTTGTTATAGTCTTTCGGATTTCGCATCTCGGAGATGACGGGCAGGAAGGCGGAGGTCCCGGCTGAGGAGACGAAGATCGTTGCTGAGGCTGTGATGCCAGCGATGAAGGTTGGATGTGCGATGACAAAGTATCCGAGTTCATAGTCGCCGGTTTGAGGGGCAGCGGCGGGGCGGTCTAGTGTGGTGACTGCGACGACGATGATGAAGACCGCGACGAAGATGCTAGTGAAGCCGGCCCATGTGAGCCAGCCGATTTGGTGGAATTTTCGGACTGATGCTGTTGCTGTGATAACAATAGTTCCGATGAATGACCACCAAACTGTGCACGCTGCGTGTGTGGAGAGCGCGTTGAGGCCAACGGACACTCCGAGGATTCCTGAACCTGCGCAGAGGACATACGCCACAAGGAAGAGAGCGCCGACCAGTTCCTTCAGGATTGTACCGCCAAGGAGCTCTGCCATGTCGGCGATGGAATGACAGCCAGGATGAGAATTGCGGAAGTTTCCTTGGACAAGACCGGTGTAGGTGTTGAGTGCCCCCCAGCCAATGACCGACAGAGCACCTCCAAGAGCACCCAGGCTGTACATTGCTGTAGGAATACTGAGGACTCCAGTGGCGAAGATGACTGCAGCATTGTAAGTTGATATTCGAAGCATTTTGGTGCCCACATACCCTTCAAGAAGATGACTGAAGCTCGAGGCCATCCCACGGTTCGGAAGTCCACACCCCCATGTGTCTTCTTGAAGACCTCATTCTCCTCCAATGGATCTTCGGCGTCGGGATAATATGGCTCGACAACACCACGGCCAACAGCTGGCTGCTGTCCCTTCTCGTCATCCGAGCTCCCATTCTTGATAGAGGTCGTTCTTAAAGACATGGTGCTCAATTATTAACTTCAATATTGAGTGCTGTGCAAGGGAATGAAAACAGAGGGAAAAGAGAAGGGGAGATGACCATAGATATATAACTACGATGGCATCAGTCGAATCATCCCTCTCACAGAGAAATCAAGAACTTCAGTCACCGAGATAAGAATCCTCGCAAACGACCATCTAAAATCCTCCGAAGAAAAAAGATATGACTGCATTGAATGATAAGATTGCCCTTCCCGACAGCTCCATGCTCGGATCTGGCCACACTGAAACGATGATTGATGCTCTGAAAAGTTCATTGACGCAGGAACCGGATTACCCCCCATTTCTTGACGTCTGCTTATCACCGCGCGCAAGGAGGCATCGTTATCATGATGCCCGCAACGGAGCTCCGATATGGCCATGGGCAAGATGGGGAAATGATTGCTGGTGCGTCAAAGGTGGGGAGACGAGCGTTGCCATGTGTTTCCGACTTGCTGTATCGTATCGATAGCGGCCAGCAGCTCAACCATGGCTCTGGAAGTCATCCACCGGGTTCGTGTGACGAATATCGATATCGAGATGTGTGAAACCAAGGGTTGAAGAGTTGAAAGAGGTTGGCTAGTTGGAGTCTGCCGAAATTGGTTGGCGGGTTGCTAAGTCAGCGACCTTCTGCTCATTTCACGAAGCTTCAGGATCCGCTCGGAATATCGCCATCTCCAATTCTCTCTACTAGCAGTCAACCTCATCCCTGACTATCCGGCTTTTGATACAAGGACAGTGCATTGGATTTTATGCCGGATCTTGAGGCGTTCAAGAGCCTCCGCGGCCGCAGTGCCACCCACGACCGACGATCTACTCGAGCACTCCTTCATGCATTTCATCTATTCAATCACGGGAGAGATTCTTGTTCCAGGCCGTCCTTTCTCGTCCGAGTTCGGTTATACGCCATTGATATCCAGTGGAAATGACGGGGTTAACTTTTTAGATCATGATTCTTATTGCGGGTCGCCCGGAGCGGATCCTCAGAATCCCCACAATTGACTGAGCCAAGGGCTTGCCAAATCCCTACGACTTGACGGCCTCAAGATATATGGGGAATGAGTTTGCCTGCTGTGGGGATCTGATCGTTCCTTGCCTCCGTACCAAGATGTTTTCGGTGGAACAACCGCTTTTTATGTCAAGGTTCTTGGATTATTCCTGCGCAAACTTGCTCGTGCCAAGAGTCTGAGAGGGTTCCAAGTCCACATTCCAAACAGCTTGTTCTCCCTCATCCAAACAAATTCCTCGAACTCATCATGATGCCCCGCAAAGCATCGCACGATGTTGAGGGAAAGAGGGCTTTTAAAATCTGAGGGGGAACGAGGCAGATATTTTCACTTTATAATCTCTCTTTCCGTCATATACCTTTATACTTGCCAGGAATGACCAGATTGTCTTTGTTCCACTGATGGATTCTTCTGATCTTATATGAAAGTTGTTGAATTGTTGCTACCTCCCCAGGTCTTCCTGAAATCTATCCAAGATGGATGTCGATAAGTATGACGGGGCTTCCTTGGCTGGACTATCCAGTCATGCTTCACTCATCACGAACAGACACCTGCAAATTGGCGCCAGCTCAGTGTGAGTATCGACAAGGTTACTGGAGGTACTGGTATCAAGCAGATCATGTATACGGATACGCCACCGTTTATTTCATGTGTGCGATCATTGGCGTGTTCACAATTGGAAACATTATATCAACCATATCGAGGAGATCAAAGTCAAGAGCGAGTGGGAATCTCACATGGCGGAGAGGATTAGCGACTGGTCGATTCCTTTCATACAGATCATTTTATATCCAAGGCTTGAGATGGTATTCGCCTTCCGCTGGCGTGATGTTGTTGGGTGTTTGCGGGGCTATATACTTCTTTGGTGAGCTCTTGAACATCACGTTCCTGTACACTTCAAGTACTGACTGTTCAGCTCTGACACTTGGCCCAAAACCATACTACTGGCCGAATACGAAGAAACTGTCTTATGGAGGTTCCCCGCCTCTGGCAACCAGGTCAGGATGGATGGCTGTAGCTCTACTTCCATTTGTGATGTGAGGAATCTTCATCATTCGTTGCCCGGACTCTGCTCAGAACTCATGTTTTCTCATAGGGTCTTGTCCTCGAAGCTCAACTATGTCACGTATATGACTGGCATATCTCATGAGAAACTTATGGTCTTCCACCGCTGGACTAGTTGGGCAATGTTTGTGTTAGCTTTGGTTCATACGTTCCCGTTCATTGTGGTTCACATCCGAAAAGGAGATATGATGACACAGTGGAAGACGAGCGTGGTTTATTGGACTGGTGTCGCTGCCCTCATCCCTCAAGCGTACATGAACATCATGTCCATCGGTGTCATACGGTAAATCTACCAGCTCCGCAATTGGCACATAGCAGCACGGCTACTGACGGAGATCACAGTACTCGATTCTATGAATTTTTCAAGGCTACCCACTTCCTTGCGGCAGGATTCTTCATCGTCTTCTTCTTCATTCATTGCGACTTTCGCCTCACATCTTGGTACCTATTCTCCTTATTGAACTTGTCGAGTTTTACTGATAAATCCTTCAGGGATTACTTCATTGCTGCACTCGCGCTCTATGGGGTAACCTACATCTTCTCATTTTTTCGCACCGCACTTCAAAGTCTCAAGGCCGAGGCGAAATTCATCCTCCTCCCGGACTCAACAATTCAGATTTCGGTCCCTACGGAAATGTCCTGGAAACCAGGCCAACATGTATTCCTCCGATTTTGGGCCCTCCCCGGTTTACATTCATACAGCATGCATCCGTTCACAATCTGCTCTTTGCCGTCATCCGGAGAAATGGTCTTCTTCATCCGACCACACAGAGGCTTTACTGGGCGCCTGAAGAAGCTTGTCGAGACTCGATACGGAACCATGGCCATGAGTATCGACGGCCCGTATGGAAATAGCGACACAGCCAGCAAACTCGCTTCTTCTGACACGGTGATCCTCATCGCTGGAGGGTCGGGCACTGGGTACTTATTACCATTGCTTCAAAGCATCTTGCAAGAGAACATCAGCACGGCAGAAGTTCACGTCACGATAGCAGTTAGACACTCAGATTCAGCGCACTGGATCGTCGGGGAGCTCGAGCGAGTCCTAGAATCCCACACCTCAAACCGAAAGGTGAAAATTGACATCCATATCACCGACGATGTCTCCTCTCTCCAAACCGAGGAAAAAGAGATCTCACCTGATGATGATGCGGAGAAGAGCGCGCTTAGACGAGCTGGTCCCGTTGCTACGGGGCATAAGAGTATTACCGTGATATATGGGAAGGGCAGACCGGATTTGAAGGAGCTACTTAGGAGGAATACTATGGATGCACTAGAAGGGACGAGCGTATCGGTCACAAGTTGTGGACCTGCGAGCATGGGTCTTGATGTTAGGAATGCGTGTGCAGAGGCTCAAGGCAGAATTTTCCAAGGAAAAGGAGGAGCAGGGGAGGTATGGTTTCATTGTGAAGCTTTTGGGTGGTGATGTGTGAAGCTTTATGCCACTGCCAAGAGGCGCGTATGGAAATCATGCACAAAATCATTCGGCATCAGCACAGTTTCTACATCAGGTCCCTCGGGTTTCTGATACAGTTTGTATCTGCACAACGATCTTCCCCTTGGCCCTCTTGCTCATGATGATGTCGTAGCCCTTATCGAGACACCGTCAGCATCATCCAACAGAAGAGTTCGTCCACATACCTTGAGCGCATCCTCCATCTCCAATACTTCACTCACCACCGCCTTCAATTTTCCCTCAGTCGCATGCTTGGCCACTAGGTCTGCCGTCTTTTGGTTAAAAACGGTGCTAAACATACAGTATTTCCTCGGAACGCCACCAAGAAACGAAGGCCACCAAGTATTCTTGAGCCAGCACCAAACGGTCCAAATCAGGCCTTCCATACTTCCGACGTTCACAAATATCCCCTGTATCTTGAGGTGCCTTGGACTGTTTTCATATAGCCCTTGCGAGCCGACAGTATCAAGAATGACATCAAACTGCTGCTCTCCATACTTCCTGGCAAGATATTCATGCACCGGTTGATGGGTTTGATAATCCACAACCTTCACTTGCACGTCAGCACGATCTCCTCCTCGAAAGATTGTTAGGAACCCACGTCATCAGCCCCAATATTTTTAACAATATCCTCATTCCTCCCCGAACAAACACCCACCACGAAACTCGCTCCCATCGCCTTCGCAACCTGCACAGTCATCGTTCCCACTCCACCACTTGCCCCATTAACCAGCACTCTATCGCCCTCCTTCACCCCAGCCCTCCGACACAAAAACATAGCCGTCTGCCCACAACTCCCCAGTCCCGCTGCATCACTCATCTCCATCCCATCCGGCACAACACCCATAGGAGCCGTCTCCTCATCAACAACTATATACTCCGCCAGTACTCCCTTCCCACTCAGCACCGCTTTCGCAGGTATCAATGAGCCGAACACTCTCGTCCCAAGTTTGTATTTTGAGGGAGCGGAAGGCCCACATTGGAGCACGGTGCCTGAGAAGTCGAGATCGGGAATCGAGAACTTTGGGCGGACGAAGGAGGGGAAGAGGGTCATGAGGACGGGGCCCGCGGGGTTGAGTGCTGCGTGGGAGATGCGGATTAGGAGGCTGGAGCCTGTGGGTGCGGAGGGAGTTGGGTGGGAGGGAGCGAGGATTAAGACGCGGCGAGGTGGACCGCGAGAGGAGAAGATCCAGGCGCGCATGGTGGGTGGTGGTGTTTGAGAAGACATTGCATCAAGGGGCGAGGGGGTATGAGGGGGTTGGAAGAGGAATTCTTACTAGATATGTTGAAGTGAAATAGAAATTCAAAGATGGGAGTTAATGACTGAGATTTCTTCGTCCATGAACCTTTCATAGCAATTGACCCCCTTCTTCTATCTTTTCCGCGAACACTCAGGCCACGAAAGTCCGTTCCGTGAGAGTAGGGGTTACAAAAGTTGGCTTGCATGTTTGCTGAAGATTGTATTTTTTAAGGTTTCGCTATGGGAATTGGAATGGAACACGAGAAATTCAACGCTTTGGGATTTAAGACATCATGCATGTTGCGGAGTTAACGGCTTGAGGCTGAAGTGTTTGCAGGACCTCACTGGGGAAGCCTATTATAATCGGCATATAAACGCACCGTATTACTAGCAAGTCGAGACTCAAATAAGAAATAGAGGGGCGTTACTAGATGGTCCAAAAACTGATCCCATGCCGTTTTTGAAAATCTTAGTTAACGAATCGGGTGTTCACATGTATTTCAAAAGGTGTTGTGCTTGGCGAAGGCATGTGCGATCAACCTTCCCACCTCGCATCTCCCACAAGCACCGAAACAAGTCATTTCCCTGTTGCACCTAGCTAGTGATTGATACTACGTAGCGTCACAAGTCGTCTATCGAATCGAAGTCTTTCATACCTTCTTCCAGGGTATCTATATCCCATCCTGGTTTTCGACCTAGTTTCCGCACCAAGAATTCTTGGAATCTTTGATTGATGTCTGCAGCCCTGAGATATGACCTTTCCCCCGGAATACACTCCTTCAGTTGGATTGCGGGATGTATGCCAGGGATGATATCTGGCGCGGTAGTCACTCCCTCGCCACCAGCATCACACAAAACGAACTTGTCTCCTAATTGTAAATCATGGAGCCCATGAAGAGCGTGTTGCAGAGCTGCTTCCTGGAGATTTCATCAGTTGATTCGCTGTACTATACACTCCGATACCACTTACCGATTATATCGCAAGGATCATGCGAGTATTTTCTGGCAGTCCTGTGGTTTACAGGAACTATTTAAAATCTTTGAGGTCCTTCGTTTTTGAGATATTGCTCCAGCCGAAGGGACAATCGAGCAGAATTCGAGCTCAGCTCTCCCAACACTGTAGCCAAGGTTTTGCCCTAAAGTCCACATAAAATAGTCAATGAATGCTGCCAAATAGTTGGAAACCAGTACATCTTCATCATGGAGTTGAGAGGTGGGGGGAGGAACCCGAGGGTTCGTTGCGAAACTGCCTATGAAAATATGTCACTGTGTCAGAGACTCGTTGCTAGTCAACCATCACCAGTAGCAACAAGCTTATAGCTTGAATCTGGTACTTCGTTCAACATTGGGAGGAATCTGTGTAACGTAGCTCCGTCGGTACTTTGAGGCTCATCACCCCACCGTGCTCTCCCGTACTAGAGGGCCATTGATCAATCACGTAATGGAGATTTGGCTGCTCAAGCTGTTATTATTGGATTCACGAGCCTACCAGAGACATTTGACATACATTCCGTGAAATGTTTGGAAAATGGAGTATTTCTCAGGGGGGGCTCCACTATTCTTAGCAAGCGAGCCCCTGGATCACGCGAGTTGCAATATCCTTCACGAGGCTATAAGTGAGTAAGTTGGTAGATTAATGCCTCAAACTCGAATTTTCTGGCGTAGCCATGTAGGGCATATCAGAATATTTTTAAATTTTCATTCTCGAGGTAAGAGTTACGTTATGCTGTTGAAGTGTTGAAATATTCCCGAGATTCGGCGAACAAGCTCGGAGGATTACTCTCCTGCTGGTGTACGAGCAACTACAATATCCTACTCTAGTGATAATGGAAGAAAGCAAAGACATCATATGTGACCACCTGCTTCTGATAGGTCTATCAAAGCTACGGACTTTCGCAGCAAGTCAAGCTTCACTTCCGCTTATCACGTGAGCGATGCTTCATCCAATTCGGACGTTTTAAGTGACAACGGCGGCATACTAAAGTTTCGAATTTTCGGTCGAAAGTTGCCCCAAGTAGGGTTTGTCTTGCAACTTAAATGCTCCGAGTCTCCGAGTCAGAGTTATGTTGCACTGTTGAAGTGTTCGGAGAGTCGGCGAACGAGCTCGGAGCATATTGTATCGCTTAGCCCCTTGGCCTCTTTCAAAGGGCAACGAACATTACTGCCCGGCAGTGGACGATCGGATAATTAATTATACTTCTAACTGATGTACTCTCTTCTGAATTCATTAATTCTTCCTTCTAAGAGCACACTCGCAAACTTTTCTTCCATTGTACCTACTTGTTTTCATACTTTTCCAGCTGCAACCAACTAGCAAACATGGTAGACTCAGCACCTGACAAGCAAGGAATATCCATGTTTTGGTGGGCAAAGCACAATCCACCCAAGGACCCCAAGACCTCTTTTGCAGGCAAGACTGTCCTCATAACAGGTGCTAATGTTGGACTTGGTCTGGAAGCAGCTGTCAAATTTGCTGCCCTCGGCGCTTCATCCCTCATCTTTGGCGTGCGCTCTCTTCAGCGGGGCGAGGACGCCAAAAAGCTTATCTGCCAACGAACTGGCTACCTCTCTTCGAATATCAAGCTCTTCCAACTCGACATGAGCGCCTTCGCCTCCGTCAAGAAGTTCGCAGACACAATCACGAAGGAAGTCCCACGAGTCGACGTTGCGATCCTCAATGCCGGCATTGCAGCCCCCTCATACCAAGTCAGTCCAGATGGATACGAGATGTCGCTTCAAGTTAACGTCATATCGACAGCGTTGCTTGCCATCTTACTGCTCCCCAAGCTCCGACAGACGACTGCTAAGACTGGGCAGCCTACACATCTCGAGTTCGTAGGGAGCAACGGACAAGCTCAAGTCACTTCAGAGATGCTCAAGCTCGGTCCAGAAGATAAGGTCGTAGAGAAACTTAGCAGCAAGGATTTCTTCAACTACATGACTCAGTATCAGGTTTCGAAGTTGCTGCTTCAATATGTTGTGGACAGCATTGCTTCCAAGACCTTGAGTACATTCGGGGAGTCGGAAGTTATAGTCACGACAGTGTGTCCCGGTCTTTGTAGAACAAATCTTGGTCGAGAGTTTGGAACATTTCTGAAGGTGACAAATGGCATTTTTCAGCAGATCTTTGCGAGATCGTGTGAAGAAGGGAGTAGGACATTGGTTAGTGGGGCGGCTCTGGGACCTGAAGCCCATGGGAAATTTTGGAGTCATGATGTTTTTTACAAGTGAGTGAGGACTCAGACCAGGACATCAGGGGTCAATTTTGACTGACTTTTCTATTTTACAGAAAGGGAGAGCTCGTCACAAGTGAGGAAGGGAAAGTGCTTCAAATCAGGACGTGGGATGAGATTCTGCAGATTCTGAGAAAGTTTGCACCTGAAGTTGATGGGATTCTCAATTCTAAAACTTGAGCTATTACACAGCACTTCATTTATCAGGGAGATTCTTTTAATCATATTCTAGAAAACTCTTTGTTATCAATTGCTGAATCGCGTTACGGTTGGGCAGCCCGATCTCCCCGTCTTCTCTTGGCAAAGCTATTGAGTATTAGAGAACATTACCAACAATCCTTTCTAGAAATGTTGGCCTTATTTAATAAGTACAAGCAAGACAATGTTCCAATAGACTTCGATACAATATGTCCTTTCAAGCTGGCCTTAGAGTTTCGGGATATTCGGTCACTGTTTACTTCATTTTCATGTTTTAAAACCCGCCGGAACCTGTGCCTCTATAATTAGCACACGTGTACATAAGAATCTGAGGTCTTATTTTATCATTACATCACGTATTGAAGTCAAATCATGAAGTCCAAGTCGATTATCACTGTCACGTGATGGAGCTGTAGCCCCTGAATCTGATTTGTAAGCCTAGAAATTCGCTAACTTTAGCTCCTCGCAGCAACCTCACCCCAATCCACTCACTTTGAACAAACATCGACGCTTCTCCTGGCAAAGAGCAGTTTCGGTTGACCTTTTTATCATCATGCCTCCCGAAGGCAGCGAGAACACTCGAGAAAGCGTTCAACGAGCTCCGGATGACCAGCTCCCACGACGATCAGCCTGCGACCGCTGCAGGTCTCATAAACTTCGCTGCCTGCGCGATGAGAGCACGACCGATATCTCAAAGCCGTGTCAACGATGTTCCAAGGCCGGGGTGACTTGTTCAACCGGAATATCGGGTCGACCCGGTCGGCCGAGTAAGTCGGCAAGAGAGAAGCAAATGAAAATCTCAAATGCCGATGTATCACGAAATCCGGGGCAATCGCTGTCAGCTGTTTCGTGTACACAATCTCAATCCATTCCGTCAATCTCATCTCATTCCCGCGATGCAGCCTTTGGATCCTCACCGTCATGGCTACTTGACTGGGATAACATTCTCCAGCCGGGGTTGCTGTCGTCAGAAACTTCGGCATCCCATCGAGATCATGCCAGTTCTGGAATCTCAAACCCTCAAGACTACAATCTCATTGAACCATTTAATGTTGGTAGAGCAACCCAAGAATCAAGTCATCTTGGTCCCGATACTTTGGATTTTGTGAACTTGCTCGACATGACGCACATGAACGCTCTTGGAAGCCCCCAGCACGACGTTATGGATCTCGAGGTGCCTGGACGTGGAAGTGCTCGCCAATCAGATTCTGAAATTGACCCAGATATCAGAGTAGACCGTTCTGTTCCTCGTGGCGGGGAGTCATCAGCGGAAATTCGCGAGATACATCTGGAGAAAACAGATTTGAAAGAAGAGGTTCTGAGAAGCCTCGCAGAGTTGCATTCCGGTTTACTGGCAGACTTGAACCTGATGAGAGATGTTGGAAAGTGTCCATGTAAACGCACGGCAAGAGTATCCCTCGCCTCCAGTCAGAGGAATGCAGATGGCAGGACAGAAGAGTACAACTTCCTCGTCGGAAGAATGCTCAACAAGGCAGAAATCTTCGTTTCGATTCTACAAAATTTCACTCCTCCACTGCCTGGAGAGTCAAGCTCGGGACTTAGTGATTCTCAACCAGAGTCTGATTGTTCTGATGAAGATCAAGACATCATAAATGCGTTCACTTCATGGCACAACGAGACAATGCCCAATGGATCCGATATGGCCTCCTTTGAAATACCTACAAGTTCGAAGCCCCTAGTAGGCACCAGCATACGATGCGATGTCCCTATGATGCTCTCAATCCTCACCTGCTACGTCTGTCTCATTCGCATCTATCGGACGATCTTCTCCAGCATCTACACCGCACTCGTGGTTGCGAAAGAAAGGAAAATAAAACTTCCTCCACTGTTCCCAGGGCTCAAACTTGGAGGTTTTGCTCCGCACATGAACTTCCAAGTCCAAATCCTTGTCCAGATTGGTACAAATTTCCTCAACAAGATCGACGACGCTTTAGGACTTCCAGACGAGCATGGTCGGGCGAAGAAGGGCGGCGGAATTCTTGAACAGACAGGCTCTGCTGTAATTTTGCAAGCTATGATGAAAGAGGAAGCAGTGGAGGGGCTTGAGAATGGGGATCCAAGCAAAGAATCACCGAGGGAGATATTCAGGAAGCTGGCCCTTGTGTGCTGAGCTTGCTGTCCTGTATGCGCGTGGCCCTACAAAGTTCAAGAATAGCACTACGACGGATCGGTAAAAAAGAGAAGACGGAGTTTGGTTGGTCGTGACGCACCAAAATGGCCGGCTATGGGACTTGACTTCATACACTAATCTAGTGAACCAAACTCCCCGCTTTCTCATCAGTCCGGCCACGCCCTTCGAAACAGACCACTCCAAATCTACAAAGTATATTACTAGGGGAGCGCACAATTCAACGTTTTTTCCTCACACAACCGACGCTTAATCACGCTCTCTCTCATCGATTGCCTTTACCTTGCTTCGACTTCTAATCACAATGAACTCGAATTCGGCAACTTTGAGCAAAGGGACCGCTATTCAGCGAGCAGAGCAGTATCGCTTGCCCTTCGGTCGCCACAAGGACCAAAGTCTTCAGCAGATCGAGGATAAAGACCCAACTTACATCTCCCGGTGCATGGTCAAGCATCCAGAACTCTTCGACCGGTACCCAAGTCTTCGAGAAGCTCTTGTGCTTCATCTACAATCACACCTTCGGCAATCTCGCATGTCTGAAAATTGGCACCCTCCAAGTCTTGCTTCAGCGCATGCCAGGTTCCGAGACCAATTCCGGTGTGATAAATGGATTACCTCCTCCGATGCTTGCGGTTTTTTTCGTGTAAGAGATGATGTCCTTTCGCAACTGCAGGAGGCAGCTCCCATTGATATATTTGGCTTGGTTCTGCCGCGATATTCTAACACCCCCAAGTATTGGCTATACCATGTGTGGGCTCTAGTGAGATATTACAGTTCAAAGGAGGACGCTGATCGAGGCTTGAGGGAGTTCGAAAGGAGGGACCGTCGTGTGGAGAGGGATTAAATTGCTTCTTTGGGTCCTCCCGCCAGCAATTAAGCCGCCTCGTGAAGTAATCGATTCTATTCACGGCATAAAATGGATTTGTGTTCGCTATAGTGGCTGAAAGCTGTCACATCCCCATTCTTAATCGAGATGCCCTACGACCTTGCATCAGCCTTGTTCGTAACCTTGGAACTTTTAAGTATCTTCTCCTTCTTCCGGGAACCTCAAACGCAGTCCGGGCATCACAGACATTCTTCTAATCGTGCTCTCACGTTTTCAAATATCGCGGCTCGCTCCAGCGACCCTCAGGGACTGTCTCCTCCCACTCTCTTACACGTTTCTCTTAACACACTACTCTCCATATCACGCCGCTGTCTGCAGATCTCAACGGCCGCTCCTAGGCTCAAAAGGACAGCGATCAAGAAGAAAAGGACGAAATGGTTTCGGCAATCGGGAAAGCGTACAGAGCGAGATCGATGAAGGACCACAGGCAGGGACAACATGAAGAGCATTGGGGCCGGAGATTGGGTTCCCTTTGTTATGCGTTATGGTCTTATTGTTGTTTTGATCCTATGGATAGGGACTGGGTGGACGACGTAGAAATGTGCTCGGTGGGTTCTAAGAAAGGCCGGGGTTTTGCAGACCTCCTCAAGCGTGAAGAGGAAGAGCGAAATTGTGAGAGATGGAGATCAGAATGGAAGATGGTAGTCTTGAGTTGCAGGATTGGGCCATCATATTACTGTACTGAGTCTTTAGAATGAGGTCGAAGAGATAGAAGCTGTCATATCTGACATCCATCTATCACCTGCTGATTTCTTGTCTCTTACCCCTGCTGCGGAGTCAAGATCAACGGATGTTTCTTCATTGATGTATCTATATCTTTTAACCCGCACTACTAAATTCCAAATTTAAATAGTGATTAATTAACAGCGAGCCCTTCGTATGTAATTTCCAAATTATACCACCCTCCAATCAGCGAATGAAATGCAAGGCTCTGATTGGTCCCCGCGTTTCCCTCCTCGCGAAGCTTGGCTCGACTATCGCGTCCAATGTGGACCTCTTTCAGAACCCACACTCTTCTTCAGTTTCAACACAAAATCATCCGCGGGTTACAGTCATCATGCTCTCCTTGACCCGCGCAGCTGGATCACGCATCCAATGTCCGGAGGTCGCGACAAACGTACTGCGAAGACACAGAACCTTTCTATCGCCGCGCGATTTCCTCCACCTCCGTGCACCGCAATTCTCGACCACGACCTCAAGATTTGCTTACAAGAAACGCCCCCCGACTCTTCTGGAGAGTTGGATTAGGGACAAGGAGCAAAAGCTTGAGGACAGGTTAGACGAATTGCGGCATTACAAGAAACGCCCTCCGACTCTCCTGGGGAAGTGGTTGAGGGACAAGGAGCAAAAGCTTGAGGACAAGTTGAATGAAGTCCGGCAGAGACAACTCGACTACGGTGTGAGCGAGGAGCAAATCAACAAGCAAGACCAAGTAGCAGAGGCACTGGCAGCCGCAACGATGACTATTGCATTGGCAGCAGGAGTTTATTACCTTTATTCTGCATGGATGGGTCCTGCTAAGGAGAAGAATGACTGGATAATCACGCTGCATGAGGGATCTGCTGTTGAGGTAAAGAAACCGGGAGTTGATTAGGTTGGGGACCACAGAAAAGGCCAGCACTGGCATCTCGTGAATCCTTAGGCTTGAAGACAACACGTTTGCTATTCCTGTCAGCAACGGCATTCGACCGTTATACTTATGTGTGAGCACCACTACGACTTTATTTTCACCATCTCTTGGGACCTTTTCTGTATGGTCTCTGTCGGTTCAACTCTGATTTGTTGTGGGCATGATGGAAGGGCCGAATGGTTCAACAGTAGATTTGCCCTGAGGAGAAGGCTGATTCGGGAATCTTACCTGGACGGAATGTTACTGAGCAGGAGCTGGTTTCATTGTCTCGAGTAAAATTGGAACAGCATATCGTGTTCGAGATCATCTCGATGTAATAGGTTCTCACGCAAATGGAACTCGCCGTCAGCCAGCTCGCCTGCTTATTCTTCTCCCAAAGACCACCTTCTTGGGCTGCATGTGCTCCTTGTACACACTCTGAGAGGTTTTGTTTCCCAGCGTGTATTGTTTATAAGCCTCAGGATGTTCTCCCAATTGTTCTCCAAAGACTACAGCAAAGAAGAGGGATGGATGGCATGGTCTCCGAGAGGCGGAGCGGGGGAATTTGTCAATTGATAGACACCAGCCGCAACAGACATTGTCTCTCGAAATTTCTTACTGGGCGAGTGACCCTAGTTATTTTATTGGGTTTATTAGTCGCTTTTATTGGTGGCTGAAAGCATATCCCAACCCCATCTCGGGAAAAGCAGTATCCCCACTTCCGAATAATCAAACGAAACTCAAGCAGTTCCTCATTCAGCTAGGAATACTCTATTGCTCATCTCAATGCAATATCAAGTTCGCCCTCAAGCTCCAACCTCTCACCTTACGGACGATTCCACGGTCTCCATCGCCACGATTACTCTGTGGTCAGCATTCGAACATTTCGATACAAAGGTAGTACGCCTGTTCGGAAACCCCACCAGCACAGAGTACACCCTCCCACAACAAGCCCCATGAAAGCCGAACAAAGGTGGCGTACTCAAACACCTTCACAGAAAATACAGAACGATTCCTTCCCAAAGGGCAACACTAAAACTCCCGGGAAAGATGATGGACCTTTCCTTGTTATGAGTGCTTTTGTGCTTCTCGCCATTCTCGGGATCATAGCTGAGATTATTCTCAATCTCTCCGTTGTCACTTTGATGGCTCCTGCTGCGAAGCAGGGGGTCTTTGTCATGAACGATTCGGTGGATATGATCGGGAAGGAAAAGGCGATGTGGGTGGACTGGTATGCCAGGGGAGGTGCTGGGAACAAGGAGCAAAGTGATGAAAGCAAGCGGTGAAGCGGTGGGATAACTTTTCCTCGATCTGATCGATGGCGGCTGAAAGTATTATTGAAATGTAAGCTATCATATTCTCAATAACCCGCCACACAACCACTCACAAGAGTTAGCAATCCTCTGATTCTGCAAACCTTTTGCCCTTTGCAACTTCTGAAAGACTCAGATTCTGAGCGGGAAGTAATCATTCTTTCTCTGCTCTGTACCCTCGGAACTTCACAAGCACCTACGTTTCGTCAACAACCCGCAAGACCTTCCTTTCGAAGATCTCCACCTCAATTTCTGTCCAGAAAGCGCCCTCTTTCAAGACAAGCCTTCTCGACCATGAGCCTCAGGAAGGAGGTCTCGAAGGACGTTGTGCAGCAAGCATCGACCAAGAGGAAAATTTCCTGGCTCGTCAGAGCGAAAGCCGTTCTTGTTGTAGGTGGAATAGGATGCGGAGGAGGAGTGGCAGGAGGCATCCTGGGAGGATTCTCTGTCTGGGAATACAAAGTTGCTCCGAAGGTACGTGAACTTAAGAATAGGCACACTTGCGCGAAGCCCACGAACTCGACCCTTCTTCGCGAACCTGACGTCAAATCATCTCCTTCCAAACCGCACCACTGGTTCCACATTGTTCCACGCCCATACTTCGAACTTCTCTACCACAGCCTCCCGGAAGAGCGGTGAAGCGGGAGGGCTATGCAGTGGGCGTATGAGCAATACGAGGAGGACCCGAACAGGTTCTACACGAACTCAAGGCGGATATCGATGAGACGGCCAAGGAATTGATTCAAGAGAAGGAGCTGGGTAGGAACATGAAGCGGCAATTCAAAGAATTCCAGAAGAACCCAAAAGAGTTTGACGATGATCATTGGGAGGAGATGTATGGAGCGGTCGGTGAATAGAGCGGTCGGTGAATGGAGCGGTCGATGAATGGAGCGGTCGACGAATGGATTAAAGACAAGGGCTCTTGCTCTTGTACGCCGATCCTCGTCTGAGCTACAGTTGCTCTGTTGGGATCAATGTGGTTCTGAGTGAAAGGACTAAAGGCTAGGAGGAAGGTGGATGTTGAACAATGATTTTGGAAGGAGTGGTGGAAGAAATAAGTGCGGACTCTTGGCTTGATAGAGGGAGAGGAGAAGCCGGAGGACCGATTGGGGAGAAGCTACATGGGAAAGAAGTCAACCAAAACACCACCGGGGGTATGAATGGTTTTTGTCCACAGGGCAAAGACCATGACCGTCATGCTGACCGGCACAACGAGGCCAGCGGCTTGGCGGATAACGTCATGAAGCTCCATGCCTCAATCGAGGAGAACGGCTTGACTTCCCGTAGTGACCTTAGTCCGTGAGTGGAAGCGGAGAGAAGGCATGAAGTGAGGCAATACCGCAGGCTTGACTCCTTCGAAATAGGGCCAATTTCAAACCAAAGATCCTAGACTGCTGGTTACAATCATACAACAATCATACAAAATAGTTGAGAAAGGTGAAAGATCACATACAAATCAATTCGAGCCTGCTGGGTACCTGCTTCAGTGTGCCAATCCATCCAAGGCTTCTGGACAAAGTTTGACCAACAAATCATCACCTCCCTTACTTCACCTCTTCGAATGCTGTCCCCATAGTACCGATTGATGAGTTCTCCAAACATCATTGAGCTGGTCATGCAATTGAGCTGCGATTCAACCTCGAAATGCCCTCCTTCGCTCGTCAATGTACTGCACTTGTGCGAAACTCGAGGCTCGCTCGTCCCTCCCGTTCAGAAGAAAACTTCCCCCACAGTCGCCAATACCTCCTTCGCGTCTTGTCACTACCAATTGAACCTCTCTTCTTCCGCTTCGAAAGATGATTGTCGAGAGAATGGGTGAAGGTCATTGAGGTGTACAAAACGCAAGCAGGTAACTGGTGACCTAGGAGTTACTGCGATCATGCGAGGCAGGATGAAAGCAATTCGCGACCAATCGAGACTCTTCACTTCCGGATCGAAAGCTGATGATCAACAGAATTGGGTGAACGCGATTGAGGAATACAAGAAACACAACGAGCAAGTGGCTCGGGATCTAGGGGTTGCTGGGTCCGGCAGCGGAACACACAGGATTCTCAGCCAGCTCACATGGGCTATGTGCTTATTCTTTTCGCTGACGACGCCATTTGGTATATCCTTGCAGTGGTAGCAACATCTTTCTATTAAATGGTGACAGGGAAGCAGAGGGAACCAGAAGGAAGCGGAATGCCGGACCGCAAAGAACCGGCCAAAAGGAAAGGGACAAGGCGCCGATATTTGGTTCAGTGATCCAGAGGGTGAGGAAAATGGCAGGAACACGATGGATGAAAATTCTTTATTTGTGACATGATACGGCAGGAAGGTTCGAGGGTTGTGGGTGGCAGCCCCATCGTAGCTTCCTCCAAATATGGCTCTACAGGTATGCAATCCCAACCAGACACACATGGTAACTTGATCATTATCAAGATTTATATCTTCAGGCTTTCAAATCATCAATATTCTCCGCTCTGACAGCCCCAGACGGCGAGCGACGGCATTCATACCCACCCATAGTTTTAATACAGCACTGTGCTCGAGCTCGAGCTCTGCATACAATGGCGAGCAGATTCTTGGAGACTGGGGGAGGTCCAACGCAGAAACTGGTCGTGACTGAAGGGAGGCGAGAGGCCTGCACGAGAACATCCGCACTGTACATGTTGAAGAGGATGAAGTCAATGTACGAACCGCAACCAGAGAACCAACCTCCGGTGGGGTGGACAATGTTGAAGTTGTTAATCAATTCAATGGATGGACCTGAACTGGAGCTTGGACCGGAATCTCGGTACAGTTGGATCCGACAACTGCCCTGGAAATCTGACTTTGCTACCCTGACCACCGCCTTGAAGGAAAATAACATTCCCTTGCATTGGGTAATGTTGAGGATGAAATGGATGATCGGTGAGAAGGTAGCGAACAGATACAGGCCGGAGAACAAGACACCTTTTCTTTGGCTCCGGTTACTGCCCTGGCAATCTTGGCAATCTGACCATGCAACCTGGAACACCTTCTTGCAGGAAAACGGCATCAAGAGCGCAAACGGTTTCCTCCTCTTGATGAGACGTATAATCGAGGCTGAACGGAAACAACTACAGTGCGAAAAAGCGATCCGTGCCCGAATCTGCCTAGAAGCTGCCGCCCGTCCACCATCTCCACAGGAGTGGTGGGAATGGGGCCAGTCGAGACGGGAAGAAATTGAGGCTGAGGAGGACGAGGCGGACAGAGAGGCGGAGAGGGATGTGGAGAGGGAAGCGGAGGAGATCGGAGAAGATCTAGAAGAACTAGAAGAATGGGAGGTGGAACTTCAGGCCGAGAGACTTAGAGACCTCGATATCTTGATGATCTTGCATAGGTTCCCCGGGGATGCACTGAAACGATTAAGGGAATGGCAAGATGTTGAGTACCATCGCCAACAATTCTTGAAACCTGAGAATCAGGCTGCACGAGAGAAGGAGGAGGCCAGGGAGGGTGTGAGCAAGGCAGAGGAGGCCGCTAATTATCCTAACAAGGCTAAAAAAGAGGCAAATCCCATGCAGGAGTACCAGATTAAAAGGGCTCAGTGCTGGCATTGGAGACTCGCTATCGACAAGTGGGACCATTGGAGTTTCCTCGAGCTCAAGAATATTCACACCAAGGATGGGCAACCGCTCTTCGAGGACGAAGATTTCAAACTTGATGATATTCCGGTGTGCCAGTATTGTGCTCTTCTTGGCAGACATGATAGATCACCTCACTTGCCCCATCAGTCGCCCAAGCAGCCGTTGCAGCAGCAGACTCAGACACCCCAGCAGCCACTCCAAGTTCAAGCTCAAAACCAGGCGCAACAAGCTCCTCAGACTCAACAGGTGATGGCGAACCAGAGTGACATACAAGGTCAAGGCCCGTGGCCTACCCCTCAACCGGCGCTACAAGGCTTTCCCCATCAAGATCAGCTGCGGCCACGCCAAGCTCAAGACCAAGCACAACAACCTACTCAGGCTCGAGTGAGGTCCATGAACCAGAATCAGCAAACTCTGCCTCCATGGCCTGTACAACATGGCTTTTCACATCTTCATCAGCTGAAGCCACTCCAAGCCCAAACCCAGGTGCAACAAGCTACGGAGATGAGGTTGTACCAGAATAGGATGCAGGTTCAGGGCCTGTGGCCTACTCCTCAACCTGGACAACATGGCTTTTCACATTTTCAAACTCAGATGCAGCCATCAACCCAGCAATTTCGCCAGCGCCCTCGTCAGCGCCCTCGCCATCAATTTCACCAGTACTCTCGCCAACATCCTCAGCAGCAGCCTCGCCAGCAGCCTTCTCAGCAAACCTTCGCCCAGCAAGCTAGGGAAATCGCCCGCTTCAGAAATGGATATGGCCATATAGCTGGTGGCCCCCAATGATAAATATCTCCGGGATATTTCTGAGGACGAGTTAGGATTGTTGCATGATCTCAACCGTACTCGACTCTGGGTTGAGGGCTGTCTGATTATGGAGACTTGTTGCGAGGATTGTGCTGCGGATGGTAGCGTCGAAGAGGACAAGATTGTCGTTGTGAGAGCGGAGTTACTTTGGTGTACATTAGTCGTTCATTATCCAGCATCTTCACCTTGGGTCATGGAGTCGAACGTGGGGGAGACGTTCACTTCCTCGCAGCCCGAAAGCATATGACTCTCAGCATTGAGTCAGGAAGTTGCAATAGCGCTGAATAAAGATCATATCTTTACAAGCCAGCCTCTCATCAGCGAAGTCCCCAAATACGCGAGCCCCTTTTCAACCCCTTCCCACTCGCTTATCACCCCGATTCCCGCCTAAAGTCACCCTCCCCTCACATCCCCGATACCCGCGAGCCTAAACATCGCAATCTAAAACAACGTTACTTCAATTCGTTTTCTTGGATCGCATTGGTTACCATCCCAAAAGGCCTAAATTCAGCTGCAGAGTACACACGAGCGTGATGCCTGCCGGCAGACGCGACTCGCTACAATTGTGCGACGGCAGTTATAGACCTGGGGATCTTGTTTCTGTTTCACTGTCAAGCCGCTCAACACACACATACAAGGCGGCCAGTGGGAGTGTGTGGGGTATTTGGCGATCACGGCTGTCGACCACTCTATATAGACCTTGATATATGTGCTGCAATGTCAGAAGATTTCGCCAGATGACGATTATCGACTGTTTCCCTACGCTCGGTCTGTGCTTGAAGATTCGTTCTCGAAGGTGTGGCTCTTCATCCCGAAAATCAACATTCTGGACTCCTCTCTTGACAGACGATGAAGGATTCAACGCCCAACATCAACACCCACCACGCCTCCCTTCTGCGTCGTGATAAACACATTCCCTTTCTCTCCCCACGTTCTTCCCAAAGCAACACTAGTATGCCCCACCAGCTCCGTCTCACTCCCCCCCCATACACAGTTTGCATCTCGCCACTGCCAAGAGCAACCGTCAACAACGCATTCCTTTCTCCTCCCGCCAGATACGCCTCTCCCAACTCTTATCCAAGGCGGAACCATCAAAGCGTAACCAGTGAAAAGGGTTTCCACTGATCCTAATTTTTGCAACGTGGAGAGGGAAACCGGCACACTGTGGAATGTTGAGGCATCGGTGTTAGAGAGATAAATATACACTGTATCATTCCCTTTGCCAGGAGGTAAGACACGAACGCCGTTGATGCCAAGCAGTGCGCCGGTTGGAGGACCCATCTCTGGCTCTTTCAACAGGATGCTCTAATTTCCTGTTTGCGTGTCAACGAGGTAGATAGCGCCATCCGCCGAATCCGCCGCGATTATCAGACCGGAAGAGGAGCTGAGCGTGCCCATTCCATTGAGAAGAACCGCGGAAGTCAGGGCCATCACTTCTTGGATCGAGGCGCCGGTGGTGGTGATGGAGTTAAAATTCTGGAGATCCACGGAATAGATGGTGTAGGTTCCTAGTCCTGGGTCGATTGGGGGTGTAAGGGAGAGGCTCCCTGCTATTACGTAGAAGCGGTCGGGTTGCGTTTCGGTGATGCCGAGGATGGCGATGAAGGGGGCGAAAGTGTGGAGGAGGGTGGAGGTTTTGGAGGAAGCAGGGGAGATGGGATAAAGCTCGGGAGCGGTGGCGATTGTGACAAGGAGGCGGACGGAGCTGCGAACGGCAGTGCTTTCTACCCATGTTGAGTTGGGGAATTGGTGGATTATGTGCCGTTAAGCTGGTTCTTCTTGGGCGGTTGAACGAAGGTTGATGGCGAGAGCCGAAGCGAGGCCGAGAAAGGAGGCGAGAATTGAAAGGGGTGCATTCCGAAAATGAAACGGATATAACTGCAGAGAAAAGCAAAATTAACATGCCAAACATGAATTGAAACTGTGAAGTGAATTCAAGCTTTAATAATTTCACTCAGCTGAAGCTCTAGTGAAGCTTGTTCGGCGTGGGTCATTCGCACTTGCGGTTTTGGCTGACTCATGACGTAAAATTCGTCCATCATTGCCATTTTCACCTCCAGTCTTATTCCTTTGTTCTCAACTGTCCAGAATTTGCGCGAACTAATTCTGGTACTTCTCTTCTTCTGCAATGTTGCCCTATCTTTGGGCAAGAATTGACGTAATATGAGAGGCTCGAATTTACGAACGGTCGCGACGCGTGATCCAAGAAGCCAATGACCTTAAAGCTAGCTTGTCTGCGAAAGACCTTTATTTTCAATAAACACTCCATGTAACAGCATATCTGGTGTTGGAGCGCACGCTTACTTACTCACTTGAGCAAAAATATGAGGGTAACAATGGTGAGTCGGTACGGGGAAGTCCCTTTAGCCTCAATTCACAAACGCCAAGCGGTTGAGAGTGGAGAAAAGTCAATCAGTCCACGAGACCTCTCGACGAGTGCGAGAGATGTCTGGTATTATAGCTCACGGAAGCTCGGATCCCTTGCATCTGCAGGCTTGCGGAAACTCCAATGATCCGCACCTGGGCAGGGCACACCACCGGAACGTGGCAGCTCCCGCGACGGCAGCGGTGGTCTGCACGGCATACCTCTTGGTCTGCGATTGGAACCTTGGGCCGACGCGCCTCAAAAGATGCAAGGACATAGTGACGGAACGGTGGTGGCGAGAAGTTCTCCATATCCATAACCACACAAGCACTTTCCATTTTAGTCATCTTTGAAACCCCGACCCCTCAGTCCCTACGATTGGCCAATTCTACGATTTATGTTTCACCACTTTCATTTAAATTAAAGATTTCTTTGCAAGGGCGACACGAGAACATGTTCACGGCACCAAGCCATCCCAGTCAAAGGCCAAGTCTCGGCAGTACGGAGGCGTGGGCAGATCTGAGATCACTGTCCTGTGGTGCCTGCTAGGCTCTTCCAAAATCGTTCTGTACAGTGTCGCCTGTCTCATCTCAGTCGATATAAACCACCAGACAGATCAGTCGGTGTTGGAGACGATTGGATCCTCGATAGCTCCCACTGGTGCAGTCGAGAGGCGAGTAAAGTGGGAGGCCACCAATGGGTTTATTTTGAGCATGGTCACCCAGTGTTGCTCGCGTCCCCTTTTCAGCTGCCGAGGGGCGACGACAAGCCTTTGATTGGTCAATGTGACGACCTGCATCGACATTTCCTGCAAGATGCCTTCCACGTGACGTTCGCCCTCCACGATGCCAAGGAGAGCAGTAGAGTTTTCGGGTCCTCGTCTCGCCGCTCCTCGGTCTTTCTATCTCTGACGGGCCTTGACATCTGGGCCATGAGGAGGAGTGCTCCCACAATAGCTCTGCGAGGAAGTCACCTCCCTGTTTGAAGAAAGTCGAGGTGGTGAGCCACTCAGGGCTTCTTGTTCGGGTGACGGGCCAGCCTCTCCGCTGGGCACGAATGATCGCATGGGGAGAAGAAGCCCCCAATCAAATCTGCATGGATTTGAAGCGGACAGTGGCGAGCGAGCGAGTCGTCGACCGTTTTGAAGTCCCTCGCCGCACATTTGGTTTGGGGGGGGCATCCATGGAGGAGGAACTTAACCGATGCAGTTTGGTTCGTGGATTCGCGCGGTGCACCACCCGCACACGATCCCATCCTGATTCCTGGCCCTCGGATACCAGCCATCCAGCCACCCAGCTAGCAGGGTCGCGACAGGGCCCAGCCATGGACTTTGGATGGAGTCGCTGCCCGAGAATCCGGGGTGGTGGGGCGTTAATCCTCTTCCCAGGAGCAGAGATCACTCGGCCGGGCAGTGGTCTTCGGGCCCCCCCTCTCGCTGATTGATGCACGGCACTGACCATTGACTGGGCGTGGAAAATCAGCTGCAGCTGTATGCCACATAAAGGTACGGGGGTCCTCTGTCAGCCCTCTCTGACACGACAGCACCATTCGACCTTCCAACTCAAGTATCGGTTTGTGCGGCTCGCCCTGGTTCTTTGGTTTTCTCTATTTGCGGATTCCACGATGAGGACTCCTCATACCGACAAGTATGATGGCGGCCATGATTTGGTGGAGTATGCGACAGGGCAAGGCGGGGACGATGTAAGGATCCGAGGCTGCTCGCGGCAGGAGGTTGAATTCTAACAAGTTGGCTTGACAGAAACACGAAGAAGTCGAAGTCAGGATCATCAACGGAAATGAAGCCTTCAACGAAGCGATGATTAGAGAGCCGCCGCGGCCATGGACCTGGTCGACGCTCCAACTGTACTGCGCATGCTTTATCGGATTCTTCTGTGCGACGATGAACGGTTACGATGGCTCATTAATCAACAACCTGCTGGCGAATCCTGCCTTCCTGGAGTTCTATCAAGGAGAGAATGCGGGTATTTGGGCCGGGATTGTAACGTCGATGTACCAGATTGGTGGTGTCGTATCGTTACCGTTCGTGGGGCCTTCAGCAGATACGTTTGGACGCCGATTTGGCATGTGGCTGGGATGTCTCCTCATTATTGTTGGAACGATTATTCAGGGCGTTGCGACTCAAAAGGAAGGAGTGAAGCAGTTCATGGGAGGCCGTTTCTTGCTTGGATTTGGTGTGAACATCGCGTCGGCCGCGGGCCCGATGTATGTGGTCGAGGTTTCACATCCAGCTTACCGTGGTATTGTGACCGCCATATTTAATTGTTTCTGGTGAGTGGCTCACATCACCAATTCGAGAATCGACGAACTGATCATTTAGGTTCACTGGATCTATCATCGCAAGCGGCGTAGCAAGAGGCGGTGCAAATTACTCTGGGAATGAGGGATGGCAACTGATCATCTGGATCCAATTGATGTTTGCCTGCATCATCTTTGGCGCCGCATACTTCCTCCCCGAATCCCCAAGATGGATGTACGTTAACAACAAGCAAGAGCAGTCGAAGGACATGCTCACCAAGTACCACGGTGACGGAAATCCGGACAGCGAATGGGTGAAGCTGCAATTGAATGAATACGAAGAGTTGCTTGAGATGGACGGAGCAGACAAGCGATGGTGGGATTATCGGGCGCTGTTCAAGAACAGATCTACTTGCTATCGACTTTTCTGCAACGTCGCCATCAGCATTTTCGGGCAGTGGGCTGGCAATGGTAAATCCATCCCACATAACGTCACCCCTTGTCTAACAACTTCGCAGCCGTATTATCATACTTCATGAGCAAAGTCCTAGCCACCATCGGGATCACCGGCAAGATCGGCCAAGCAAACGTAATCCTCATCAACAACTGCCAGCAATTCTGCTGGGCACTTCTCGGCGCCAATCTCGTGGACCGCATCGGACGACGCCCGCTCCTCCTCTTCTCAAACGTCGGGTGCTGTTTTGTCTGGCTCGCAATGACAGTCTCGACGGCCATCTACACGATGTCGATCCCGTCCGATCCCGTCGCCGCCGCGGATGCTCCCATAGGAACGAATTCCGTCGCAGGTGTGGTGTGCTTGGTGTTCATCTTCATCTTTGGGGCCGTGTACTCGATTGGGTTTACGCCCTTGCAGGCACTGTATCCAGTTGAGGTTCTGTCGTTCGAGATGAGGGCGAAGGGAATGGGGTTCTCGGGTATGGCTGTTGCTGCTGGTAGGACCCCCTCATCACTCCAAACACTTGACCCAAAGAAATTGCTAACGACTCGAACAGCTGGCATGCTAAATCAATTCGCATGGCCCGTTTCAATGGATAAGATTGGATGGCGAACGTACATTATCTTCACCATCTGGTGCGGGATCCAATCCATCGTTATCTTTTTCTGGATCCCGGAGACGAAGAATCGGACGGTGAGCCACTTTCCCCTCCCCTTCCACTTTCTCCCCTCCCCTTCCACTTTCTCCCCTCCCCTTCCACTTTCTCCCCTCCCCTTCTCCCCCTTCATCCCATCTCTTCGTTCTCTGGAATATAGAAAGGAGGCTGATATCCAAATAGCTCGAAGAACTTGACGAGATCTTCAACTCGCCCAACCCCGTAAAGGCCTCGCTCGCGAAGAAGAGACTCGGTTTCGATGCGTATGGTGAGGTTGTTAACATCCAGGAGATCTGAGTGCTGTCTCGGGACCGATTTCTTCTTGGTTTATATACGTATAGTGCATATGTTGGGAGTTTCTATGATACCCGGTTTGACTGTGGATATTTGGCTATGCGACGGGGGAGTGGCGCCAAGACAAGAGGGGTTTGTGGAAGAGGGAAAGGGCGAGGAAAGCTGGGGAGATTGAAAGGAGGAGGGGAAGCGAGGAAAAGGAGATAGGGGGGAACGGCGGAAGTGGAAGGAAATACGTAATGCGCTGCTGTGCTAGGAGAAAGTACAAATGGAGAAGAACTCGGCTGGGTCTGAGCATTGGCAAGGAAAGTCGTTCATTGATGGAGCTGGGGGGTAAACAAGGAGCGAATGGCGTACGGTATATCTCAGCAGCATTTGAATGGAATAAGAAATCATAATTGCACACTAGACCACCTGGAGATCTTGTTCAATCAGCTTTGGGATCCGGAAACCCGTACAAACTCGCCGCCGTGCAATGGTTGCGTGTATGAAGCTGCATTTTCTACGTATCAAGAGGTTGTTCGTTCATTCGTTGGGAGTGGATGAGAGTAGCAAGAGACAAATAGAATTCTGTACTGGCAAAAACCATGCGTAAAGATGTGTCTGAATCCGAGAGGCTTGAATCGAGAAATCGAATTTGGTGCAGAGGTGAGGGCAGCCGTGGAACGGAATAGCCTTAAGAACCCCTATGTTGTTATCTATCACACAACTACACCAGTCCCTTCGCAAATGAAACCAGCAAGGCCAATTCTCCACGCCTTCGTCCTCAAAATCTTCGTTCGGATCTTCCCTCTCGGCTGTGAAGTGTAAAGGCACCAATCTTTCAAAGTGGTGGGTGTTAGATCGGAGGGCTCCTGCTTTCGGAATCTCCTGTCCTAAGATGCTGTAAAGTATCAGATCATGGACGCTGTTAATCCTACTATAATTTTCGAATAGAGGCACCGGAAATAATCAAACTTAACTTAGGCCATCGAGAATTCACTGTCCCTTTTCTTGTCCACCGCAAGGCGTCCCAAAGAGCTACAAAACAACCCTGATCTACAAATAGAACTTCTAACAAACGTCACATCACATCCTACTTCCCCTCAACGAGTAAGAGCCAATGCATCACGCCTCGCTCGCCAAAAGCGGTGCTATACAAACACCACCCATAGCATAACCTCATGCGTAACCCCTTAATATCGCTAACGCCCAAAAGCATGGCCAAAAACAACCAAACACAAAACCACACATCAAGCCCCCAGCGTTCGAAGTGAAAGTTGTCAAACCACTGCCGCGTGGTATCCCTACACAATGTTAATCTTTCCAAAATATATATTCCGAGAATGGAAAGATCTGGAAAGACAAGACGAGATGGGACGGGACGGGACGGCTGGGTTTGCCGCTCAGCATAACATGTGTAACGGTGTTACGGTACCGTGTGAACGACGGAAAGGGACTGAATCCTGTCTGTTTCAAGAGGTAAGTACGGCAGACCTCGGGGCCAGACTCGGTGCCCAGCTCGGATTGAAGGAATCCAATCCCGCGTGCGGGATTTTGGAGGTAGGGGTTCGATCGAAATGGATTGGAAAGACGAAGTCAACGATTTGCGATTGGAAGTTTTCATGCCTTTTGTTCGGGATGCTTGAAAAACAAACTCACTTGTACAAAGCTTTGGGGTTATTTTTGGGGTAAAGAAGGAACGGTTGGGAGCGGGGGAAAGGAGATAGATGTATGGTATGATGATATTTTGATTCCTGAGCCCACGACCTACCCCCCATGTCTATTATACATTCGCTCTGTACATCTATACCCAGACATAAGCAGTGGCAACATATTCCCTTCATACCACCTAATGCTTTGAGAGCACCAAGAAACGTGAACTCATATCTAAATCGTACACTGGACTATTCTCTCCACAACGTTAAGCACCAATCCTCACATACCCTTGTACCACCTCTCCCATCCCATTCATCCTGCTTGCTTGCTGTCCACTCCCACTGCCATTCCCACTCCCTCCATTACCATTCGCTCCCGAGTTCGTATTCCCATTAGCAAGCCTAAAGTTCGTTGCAGGTAGTTGCGACTGCGGCGCATCGCTCATCTCGACGAAAGAATCGTCTTCCTCCATATCCGCATCAGCGTCTGCATCTGCATCACTGCCCATGGCGTCCGCATCCATCGTGTTATCCGTGAGCGTAGAGTTTGTTCGTTCCGGTTGGTCCATGCTCATGTTTATCGTTGGCGTTTCGACTGTGCTGGCATTATTCCCGGGAGAGATTGGTGTGGATATGCTCTTCGCTGATGGAAGTGAGAGTGGAGGATGGAGGGAAGCCGAAGCAGTTGAATCGCCACTCAGGCTCCTCTGTCCAGCCATTCCTCCACCGCCTCTTGTCTCCCGAACGACGACTTTCCATCTCCCTATCGCCCTCTCGATTGCGGTGTCCAAATGGACAGAGCGATCCATGGGGCTGAAGCCGATGCTTGGAGCTGTTATGCCCACCTGCGCGAGGTGCGCCATGAAATCCCCGTCAATGGGCACCGTGCTCGGAGGCATGATCTTGAACTCCCTTGGATGTTGCAACCTGCTCAGCTCATCTACCTGAGATTTCAGATGCTCTATCTCCTGGATGGCAAACTCCTTTTCCCTCTTTATCTTTTGATTTTCTTCTGATTTTCTGCCCACGCTGCGGGCGAGCTCCAGAGTCCAGATCTCGGAGCGTTTCGAGGGACCCAGAGAGGTCCAGTGTGCGAACACGCTGTGTACGTGCTCGGAAACTTTAGCTTCAAGCTCGGTGGACGAGGCTATGGCGCGTTGAGCCTGCTCGGAGGGGTCGTCGAAATTGAGGCCGAAGAGGGAGGCGGGTGGTGGGTAAGAAAGGTCATCTCGTGGGACGGTGGTGGCTATTTGGCAAGAGACACGCCAGCGGTTGAATTCTGAGGCGAAGTGGGCACGCAGGGCTTGGTATTGGCGTTCATCTGGGGGCAGGATGGACCAGGAAGTTGAGTTTGGGACGGGGGTGGATTGGAATAAGGTTGGTGGTGGGGGCAGGCAGTGAAGTGTAAGGGCCGGAAAGTCGAGCGAGAGAGGGTCGTAGTCGAATATTGAGGGGCCTTCAATTCGTTGCCTTTACTTGTTAGAAGCTGTCATGTTGGAAATAGTCAGGAGAACTTACTTGGCGGCTCTGATAGATCCCAACAACTCTCGCAATGCCAACTCAGCTGCTTTCGCATTGTCCAGCGCATCAATCATCTTCTGCTTCTGTTCAAATGTTGTCTTGGCCAACATCTGCTTGCTAACAGACCGGCTCCTGGCTTCTGCTCTTCTGCCACCATCTCGGTCTTCTCCATCCCAACTTCGAGAATCACTGCTCCGGGGAACCGGTATATTGTTCATGACCCCCGTCGATTCCCAGGTCCCCTTATTTATGAACATGCTTGGCTTCCCCCTGAAATTGACGCTGTCAATAACTCCATTATCATCCCGCCGCAAACTCGGCGATCTGTTCCCTTGCCCATCAGACTCGGGACGAGGACTCCTCCTTTCCTGCGCCCCAGGCGTAGCCGCCGGTGTAGAATCCTCTCTCCTCGATGTCGAATTCCTAGGTTGTCTCCTTGTGATACCCCCCCTTATTTTCCTGATCTCGACAACATCGTGGAGCCCGTCCGCCGGCTTGGGGTTCTTCTCCTTTATGTAGAGGTCGAGATGACGTCCGAGGGAGGAAGACGTGAATTGCTGGTGGCAGAACGGACACGCCTTGTCCTTGGGAGCACTGCTCTTGCTGCCATTTGCAGATACATCGGCGGTCGATCCAGGGGTACCCATTTGTTCGGTCATGGTTGCAGCTTGCACTACGCGAGGTGTATTATCGCATTGGCGGATAAGCTGTACGGAGGAAGTCGAGAGGAGAATGGGATCGAGGAAGGCACCACGGATATACTCTGGAAAGGAGGGGAATTTTGGGGGAGTCGGCCAGCTCACGGTCAGACCAATTCAAGGGGTCTGCAGCTTTCATTCATTGCTCCCCAGATTGGGATTATTATTTCGCTTGCGGCCAGGGATAACTCGTAAGGACGCGCCAAATTTACAGCATCCCTGCTAGAGGCAAATCATACTTTGCACTCCTGAACACAACGCGGGACGAGACGAGAGATTGTGGCGCAAGTAACTCTTCAAACTGTTCACATTTTATAATTCAAACCGCAATTGACTGAGGATAGTTGGATAAAAACTACGTGCAATGCCGTTGTCCAAACGCAGCCAGATCTGCATCTTGGTTCAATTATCACGAGGCGGCAATTATGACTTGGATGTATGCGGAGTTATTTTTGGACCTTGTTTTCGATTCACGGGATACCAGAACCTTTACGCCATCGAATGTTTCTAAACTCCCAAACCATGCAATGCAAGACCAGCCTATAGGCTTACATGGAAAAACTTCGCTCGCAACGCTGTAATAAAAGGCAAAATTGCAAAAGACATCAAGTTCTCATTTCCAGATCACTGGAGCAAAGGATCCTGAAAAATATTAGCCATTGTCCTTGTGGAACGGAGTGAGGAGAACTTACCCGGAAGTGCTTTTGCATATTGCTCTGCTTGTTGTTGTACCACTGCTTCTTCCGTTGCTCACGCTGTTCTACTTTCCTGGATCTCTTTTCTGCGGCTTGGACCTCTTTTCTCTTTTCAGCCGTAACACCAACCATTCCCAAGTTTGCACGGTTCGTGAGAGCTCTACCGCGTTCTCCATTATCGCGACGGGAAAGCTGCTGGCCTTCAACATCTGAATCGGAACTTTCAGCGGCCTCGATTGCCAGTCGCTCCTCTCTCTCAGCGGGAGATGGATGATTGTGTAGGTTCTGTCTGTAGTACTTGTTCAAGGATCGATGGCCAGCGACCCGTCCAGAGGGAAGATGCAACTCATAATCAGAATAGAATACCGCATTAGCGTGCTTGTGTGCGTGTGAGTGAAAGCCATCCTTGTTCCGGTGAGGTCGAGGATCTGAATGTGAGTGGTGAGGATGTTGGTCAAGCTTCTCATATCGGTGAGTTCTTTGGTCGAGAGGAACTGCTGTGAGATCTGCTGAATCCAACGATGATGCCGAACTATCTGTCTCCCAGCCATCTCCATCTTCCACCTCCTCATCGCCCTCCTCATCTGTGGTCGAAGGATGCTTAGCTCCTAACTTCGCCCCACCACGCTGCTTCTTGCCCGGCAGTGAATCCTCGGAATCGGACTCATCCTCAGCATCTGAATATGTGCTTGTAAAATCGTAAAATTCCCCGATCTCAAGCTGCTCATCCTCTGTGTCGAACGGAATCTTACAGTGGCCCTTGTCTCTCATGTGAGTCTGGAGGCCGAATATGGTAGGCTTGAGCTTGCCACAATACAAGCATTCGTGGAAGTGATGAATTTTCTCAAATAATGCGCCAATCAAGCCCTCAAGATTAACCAGGTAAGCTCTCTCCGGGATGAACATGCCATGAATGCGTTCCATATGAGCGGCATTCAGCTCAATCGAGGGAGACTCGAAGTTGCAGAAGAGACACCGCTTGACCGAAATTTCCATGGGCGTATCATTATCTCGAGCTGTCACCGATGAAGCTGTGGCTTCAGAATCCTTATCGTCTTCAGCATCGGTGGAATGGTGTGGTCGTGACGGCCGGCGGGTCGCATTTGGAATTTCCTTCAAGTTTGCCTTCTTCAGAGCCTCCACTACCTCGCTGAACTCCTCCTCGGCTTCGGAATCAATCTCCTCTGGCTTTGAGGATGTAGGCTCGCCTAGTGAAAAGGTTGAGCTCATCACGGAGTCGGTTTCATCATCTTCATTCCGGTCCCCGGCATTCGCAGTGTTCGCCTTGTGTTTCTGACTTCCGAGATGGTTTTGGTAGGCATTTTCACTGAAGTATGTTCGGACACAGGCGGCGCAGGTCTTTTCGAAGGCGGCTTTGGTCGCTGCGGCAGTTGATGAGGCTTGAGCTTGGAGGACTTTTTCTGTGAAGACTTCGGACGAGATCGGAGGGAGAGAGGTAACACGACGCTTCAGATTGTATCGGCTATTGTCTATTAGTCTGAAAACATGCATGAAGCCTTGGATGAAACGTACTGCCAGTCACTCCGCATGTGCCCTCTTTGCAATTCACTGTTCCTGAAGGCAACTTGACAGGTATTGCATGTATATGGATGTGTCGAAGTGGTGTCTTGTGCTGCTCCAAGACCAGAGGCAGGGATCCTGCTGGCAGATATCGATGCCATGCTGTTTTAGGAGGGGTCGCTTTGTTGAGGCAGGTCGTGGTGTTGAAGTTTGACCGCAAATAAAGAACTTTGCAAGCGGAAGAGGAAGCCGGCTCTTGGACTGAAATGACCCCTCGCTGGATGAATAATTCAATCTTGGAGGCAACTAGAATCTCGGATCCAACGGAGAATAGTATGCTTTCGTAAAGGGAAGCACCGTGGGAGAGTCGGTGGAGAGAATGTGGACGGCAGGTCGATCTAGTGTTGAGTCAACTTGATTTCGAGATTTCGCCTTCGGCTTTTTCTTTGCTTGGTGGGGGTTTGGAATTGCCAACCACAACGTCACAGTGGCAATTGACGCGCTAGTCGCAAAGAAGGCAAGCGTTTGTCACTCTTCAGGATCTCAGCCGCGTCCGGACCGCGACAAGGCATAGCAGGGCCATTCGAAGGTCAACCGATCTCTCCTGTGTCGGTGCAACATAATTTACAAACATCACTTTCTGCCTTCACCATCTACCTGCACATGACGACCTATCCGAGGCGCCACGCATCCCCAAGGCTCTAGCTTCGCTGCCAATGTCATGACTCGAGATACGTATAGAGTCCACGATGACCGCGATCCTGTCAGTGATGCCGAGATGTATGCAAGCCTCTGGGCTGCAGCCTCCTTTCCACGACTTCCGGACGATGCCCCGCCTGAGTTGAAGAAGTTTGCGATTGATATTGATGACCCAAAACGAGTTTATGCCATACATAGAGCCAGTCGGCGACACCACTTCCAGATATTAGTTGAGAGGTTTGCCTAGACATCTCCATCTGCAGCCTTTGGATGTTTCACTTGCAATTCATGCTGACGGCACGTAGATACATCCTCCAGATCAGATACGGTTGCCAATCGAAGACCTGTAATACAGCAACATGCTTCTCCTGTCGAAAGCGGCTTGCTGGCGCAGCCCCAGTCCGAAGATATAACGCCACGAGTGCCCGTACGTTGGCCATATACATGGCAAGCCAGGACAATCCCGAGCAAGGCCTCTGCCACAATTCTAGCGCTCCACGACCGGTCCCCGAGGGCAAAAGACCTTTAAAATCGAAGGACGTCCCGGGTGATTTGAGAACTACACCTGTTCGGCCGCAGGACTCGAGAAGCCGGAGGCGGAGTATTGAAACTGGCCAGAAAATAGAGGAAGACGATAATGATGCGAAGGAATCTGACAGGAAAGATAAGCCGTCCAGCCGAAAATCGTCGATGGGAGACGCGATCAGCAGGAGAGCTTGGCCCGACTTGACTTCGCTAGAGGAGCCTACTCCAACAGATCATAGATCCTTTGTCCAGAACGTGTTTGGAACGGTGGCATTCAAAATGCTTGAATGGCTCACTCCGAGGAATCTTGACCTACTGGCCAGATCCGAGGACAAAAACGCAATGTTGGAGGAAGAGTCACCAGCTGATGTTGTCCTGATGGATGGTTCAAAGGAAACAAAAACATGTGTGGAGAAGGGCAAAAATTCGACTGTAAAAGAGTCCGCGCCGGCTCAGGATGTCCCAATGGATGATTCAAGGAGAACGAAAATATCTGTGGAGTCTGGGAATCATTCTCTCCATGCACCGGAGACAACCATCGAACATTCACAAGAGGAAATTGCCCAGCATTCTTCTTCCTCTCCTGAAATCTCATATACATCCCCGTCAGAACTGCCAACCTCGACTAACACTAGACCGGATTCTCGAGCAGAGGAAAAACGGACCCCAAGAGGGTCGAATCAAGGTTCTCACTCGAAGCGTCCCTCAAGTCTTCGGACAAAAAGCGATCCTCTGGAGCCAGTTCCAAAAAGTCTTGTTAATAAAATGACATCTGAACCTATGGCTGATGTCAACCCAACGCTGTCTTCTCATGGTAACTCGATGCCCAGATGCAAGATGTCAAAAACTCTGATCACGAGCCCAAAAATGCAAATGGTGGACACAGGTCCTGCACTGCACGAGCTTAAATTTCTACCACCAGCCAGGATTTTGGAATCGGAATCACCTTCGTTGAAGGACGATGAATCCGAAGCCTCTCATGATGTCCAAGCAATACGTAATAAACCCCAGAGCGTTCCAAAGGAAACTCGATTTTCCCAACTTGCACCCGAAAGACAGGTCTCGCTACCTCAGTCTCTATCCTACTTGTCGATAGAGAACATTGAACTACTGTGCGACATACTGCAATCTGACGGTACCTTTGAGAAACACTTTCTACACCCCGAAGGACTTGACGAAACCCTCAAGAGACAGCGAAACGAATCAGTTCCTCTATCCCGAACTATATCAATACAAAACTCTTTTCCATACCTATCGTCAGTCAAGCAGCAGTGGCGATCTTTCATCGAACAGAGCTTCTTTGATGTACTCAGCAGACCTGAGTCCCTCCTGAGGTCTTTCAGCGATGATAAAGGAAGATTATTCGACACTCAGACGATATGGTATCTCATGCTCAGAATGACCAGAGTCGCTCCATCGCTAGTCTTCGACTCTCTATGGAATTTAGCTGGAACACTTTTCAAGCCACCTCATAAACTGGAGGCAACATATGAGTGGGCCAAAGAGTTCCAGTCCCAGGAAGTCTCGTCCCAAAAGGCGCTATCGAATCATGAGGCAGCTCAAGCAATAAATATCTGTCTTCACGCCTTGGTTGCGGCTGCACCACTCGTCTCTGATGCCCGGCAGTTGGCAAATATGTCTCGCATTCGATCCTACGGGTTAGCTATGCGTGGCAGAGAAGCGTCTTCCCTCGAGCCGGCAACATTGTGCCTCCAGTATGAAGATGCGTTCACGAATGACCTTACGGTTAGACTTGCACGTCGACTCTTTGCAGCAATATCAACGAGACGACGATTCACGGAACTACTTAACCTCCAAACTGATATTCGAAAGGATGAGAAACCACAGCCGGATGTTTTGGAGACTGTCCTAGGGACTTTGAAGTTTCTCGACTTAGGCACTCCCCCAATCATCAATTTTCCAGATGATGAAAGGGACCTTCACGAGAAGAGAGTGCCGACTTTAATTCTTGATTGGACGAGGACAGTTATGCTCCAGGAATGGGAAGGCGCCGCAGAAGTGCCTAGTGATGGGCCATTCGGCGGCGCCTTAGCCACTATGGCTGCCATATGTAAGCTAGTTATGCCAGTACAGGAACGCCGCTAACATGATCAGACAAAAATCGAAAATCACTTCTTCTTGGTGACATACATTTCCGTACAGAGTACTTTGCTGAGCGCTTGGATCCCGTCGAGATGCCCGTAGAATGGCTCTCCTTCAACCAAAACAAACGCAACGTTCACCTGCTCGACTATCCGTACTTGTTCAACCCCTCGACGTTGGTCACTTATTTCCGGGCAATCAACTACTCACGTATGAACCAATCCTTCGAAGCAGCACAAGCTACAAGTCGTTTGATCTATCACACAATAGCAGAGGGGTCTGGCAGCTTAATGCCTGATAAACATCGGCGAGATAGACTCTACGAGCGCCTTCGAACCGCCGCTTCGAGGTTCACAGTCCTTGAGATTCGCCGAGATCATGTTCTCGTAGATACCTTCAATTCAATTTGGAGGCGTGAAGAACGCGAGTTGATGCGGCCTCTGAAGATTCGTCTTGGGGAGGATGGCGGAGAAGAGGGCTTGGATTCTGGTGGTGTGCAGCAAGAGTTCTTCCGACTTGCCATTGCGGAGGCCCTTGATCCTGACTATGGTTCATTTACGATCGACAGCAGAACTAAGATGGCTTGGTTCCAGCCAGGATCTCCAGAACCCTTATGGAAGTTCGAGCTCATCGGAATGATCGTTTCATTGGCTGTGTACAATGGCCTCAACTTGCCCGTCACTTTCCCCAAGGCACTATACCGAAAACTACTTGACGAAGAGGTTACAGAGTTGCATCATATCTCCGATGGGTGGCCGGATCTTGCGAACGGCTTGACCTCGCTATTCGAATGGGACGAGAAAGATGGCCTGGTAGAAGACGTCTTCGCCCGAACGTACGAATTTAGCGTTGAGCAATTCGGTACGCTCGTAAGTCGTGAAATGGGCAAAGTATCACAGTGGCCCCAGTTCGCCGATATACACAGCTCGACAAACCCTGAAGACGCACCACTTGTCACGAACGAGAACAGGAACGGTTATGTGAGCGACTATATCCGCTGGTTAACTGACATCTCTATCCGCCCACAATTTGAGGCCTTCAAGAAAGGTTTCTTCGCTTGCATTGATCGCCGCTCCATCTCTCTCTTCGACCCCGAAACCCTCCAGTCGGTCGTTGAGGGCATTCAAGAAATCGACGTCTCCGAATTGCGGCGTGTGACACGGTATGTCGGGTGGGGCGGGGAAGCTACCCACAAGACAATCCGCGATTTTTGGAGCATAGTGAAGAGATACGATATCGAGCAGAAGAGGAAGTTACTCGAGTTCGTGACGGCAAGTGACAGGATACCAGTTGGCGGGATGCGGAATCTATCGTTCACGATACAGAGGAATGGGGTCGATGATGGGCATTTGCCGACTAGTTATACTTGCTATGGGATCCTTTTGCTGCCGGAGTACTCGGGCAAGGAGGTGTTACGGGAGAAGCTGGCGATGGCGTTGGAGAATTCCAAGGGGTTTGGATTTGCTTAGGGTGGTGCATCTACTCGCTTGGAGCCAGTTAGAAAAGTATATGGGCTGAAAAGGCGTTCGCGTGGGTGCACATCATAGATTCCCAGCCAATTCATCTTTCGTTTCCTCGTCTTGCTGCCTAAGCTGTATTGAAATTCTCACGAGTATTGGAGTAGCCGCCAGTCCAGCACCCAACCTGAGCTTGAGGTTTAGCCAGTCACTCACCCCCTCATCCCCCCTGCCCCTTGCTCAATTCCCACTTCACATATTAATTCGAATCAAACCAAAAGAATATCTATTGTTCCTCGTTGCAAGTGCAGTCATTAGGTGGTAGGAGAAGGGGACAATGAATGTAAGATTATTACCCATATAATCTCAGACGACAATTGAGCGTACCAAAATCCATTTCCGTTGTTGATTCCCAAGCCTACTGCGCAGCAGGCATGCCGTCTATTTAAGCTCATCATGTGACACAGTGACCGCATCCGCCTTAGGATAGCACTCAAATATCTTTGCCTTGGGATCCGAGCCTACGCCCCCATGCACCTGTAGCACCTTGTTCGGGTCGAGTTGGTGCTTGATTTGCAACAGCCTCTGGTAATTCTGGGCTCCCCAGAACAAAGACGGCGAGTCCACCTCGAACACATCGGCCTCGTTGAGATACACTCCCGCCGACGGTGTCAACTTCCGCAGCGGGTCCATGGCCTTGTGCACGTTGACGAAGGCGGTGCGAATCTTCTCCGCCGTCGTCTGGGCGGGGTCCCATTGCGTGATGAACATGACGTGCCAGGTGGACTTGCGCCAGACGGGCGTGAGAGCGGAGCCATCGTCGGGTGTGCGCGCCGGCGTGGACATGCAGAGCATAGGGATGATCATAGGGCTGCCAGTCTTAGTCTCGGCGCCTGCGAGAAGGGCGTCCACTAGCTGGTCCTGGTTCTGCATCCCCTCGAAGTTAGAAGCGGGGATGAGCCGCGACGACATGATAGTACCCCAGTTGCCGCTGTTGGCAAATTCGCTGGCAATATTGGCCGCATAGAACTCGTACCACGAGGAGTACGTCTTCGTGGTGACTGTGCCCTTCTTAGGAAGGGAATCGGCGAAGTCGGTCAACGGCTTCAAGGACGTAGCAGCCGCGTCGGCGTCGAGGAGCGGGTTGACGAACCGGACGCTTCGCTTGGTGATCGGATACGAGTCGCCCCCCCCCAACCCTCGGCCACCCAGCGATTCGCGTTGGCGGCCAGGATCCGAAGAAAGTCTTGTATCTGGGTTTTGTTCGCACTGTGGAGATCTATCTTTGCATACTAGTGACAGGCTTGTGTTAACAAATGCTTGAAGGGTGAGATGAGATGGTGGCGCAGAGACTTGAATACCTGGAGCGTCACTTGTTTATGCGCGGTTGTGGACATTTCCGTGATTAAACCAAAGGTACCGCCCCCTCCTCCCCGGAGAGCGAAGAAAACATCTGGATTCTTACAACGGTTCGCCGTGACTGAGGTGCCATTGGGGAGAACACCGTGGAATTGCTGCATATTATCCACGCCGAGTCCGAAAACCGGGGACAGCATACCGTGGCCGCCTCCGGTGATCCAGCTACAGTGTGTCCTCGCATGCTTCTATTCTGTGAGAAATACCACAATAAGTCCACCGGCCTGTCCGGCGATGTATTCAGCGTTGGTCTTCTTGGCGCTGATCTCAGTACACGCCTCCTTGTCGACAGGCTTTGCGACGCCATTATAGCTGGTGTAGCAGGGGTAAGCCATAGGGAGCAGCGTAAACAGCCTGCCGTTGACTGAAGCGTTTAGCGCAGCCCAATCCGATTGGGCGATTTTGGAAATGGCAGCAAACAGAGCAGCGCGACATATCAAAGAACAGAGCCGCTAGCAGGAAGAGTAACCTCAGAGGAGCCATCTTGAGCATGTTACAACGAACCTCAACAGAGATTGAAAAAAAGGGGGTTGGGTAGGTGCGAGCAGTAAGGTTTGTGGATGGTAATGTTGATCAAGAATCTCGTCGAATTGCTGTTATATAAGCTCCATCCGGGCACGCGGCTACTTATTCGCCAGCCACAGTTTTGCTTTTGTCCTTGGCTTGCTTACAAAGATTTAGATCAACTGCAAATTACGTTTGGCGCTAGCCGGGATTGAATGCAGTATCACAGCCCGTCCGCCTTGATAGGAACTTCAACAAGCAATTATGTGACGCTCACACAGCACTGGTTTGCACCGCTTTGATGGACTTGAAGCGTATCCGCCGCCACCATAAGCGTTCGTTTACCTGCCATTCCAATGTCTCTTCCAGCTCGATAAAGCTGGCAGAGAGCTTTGATCCGATGAGAAATACTGCTAGACGAAGGCTTCAGCCGCCCCTGGTCTTCAGCTGCACCTATTCTTCAGCTGCACCCCCATTCTTCAGCTGTGCCTATTCTTCAGCTGTGCCTATTCTCCAGTTGTGCCTATTCTTCAGCTGATCTGCACATGGCTGAATTGGTGATGGACAGCACATCAAGCATAGTTAATGTAAAGGCACTTTATGCAATGCCTGCTCGTCAGACAATGTATCGACAAAGGAAATCCAAATCGATCCAGGCGGCACAGTATTATAAGAAATCGCCAAACTCTGTTTCTTTTCTTTCAAAAAACATCTACCACAATTTGCAATCTCAATCCATTTCTGAATCAAAATTTTGATTTTTCATTCATCCATCTACTAAGTCGATAGTCCATAATTGAAGATCATGGCCAGCCCAGAAGGAACCCCTCCATTCACACTGCCCAAAACAATTGCATCAGGCAGAGTGACCGTAGAGATTGAACACGTGAACCTCGATGCGACCAACACACACAGGGGTGTACAACCTTCTGCCATTATCAACACATTTAATAATCCTGCTATCGTGTGAGTGCAATCAACGAAGCTAGATCAGATGCTAATAGTGTCAGGGACCAATTCATTCTAAAGATTTGGAATGACCCACATAACCAAGATGTTGTTCAGGCCTTCCTGAAGAATGATTTCGTCTGGTTTGCTGCTTATCACACCGATAGTGAAGCACTGGCTTATTACCAAAATTACGGAATTGTAAGAACGAAATCTCGTACTCTACCCACTCCAAATTTCCAGCTAACAACTGCTCTTCGCTTTAGCAAGACTATTTCTATTTAATCGACTATATTCGTTTTAAGGCTCTCCGACTAAACACTGTCCTTGACGATGACTGGGAAAATCTCCAGAAGGAGGCAAATAGCCTAGCCGAAAGTGTCAAATGGGTCAATAACTGGCGTGACACCCTTATTACTAAGCTAAAATTACCTGCTGCTTCGATAGATCAAGCGGAAAGATCAATCGGTGAAATGGCCTATGCAAACGTCCTTCAAAGGCATGCTTCTATTGATGACTGGTTCGACCTGCACGTCATCATGATCCCTTGTGTCTGGGTGAGTTTCACATTCTGTACCTTGCACGATTTAGCTCATAATTTAGGGTTGGCCACAGCTCGCCAAACTAGTAGATTCAGATCCGAAGACAAACAAATGTACGTGTTGGAGCCTTCCTTCTCCACATCCAGTTAACGGGAAACATAGCAACAATTTTCTACGAGACTTGGGTCAAACCGAATCTTACTACATCTTCAGCCGACAAGCTGTCAAGTATGTTCATTCATTTGACATTTGAACATCAACACTGAAGCTAATAACTAACTTCTTTTTGTTAATGATAGGTTTTCTTGATGCTAATAGCGAGATGTGGGCCGCTGGAATTGACAAAGGTCAAGCCCCAAAGAAAGGCAAATGGAACCAGCTTTTCCGCACGGCCATGAGGCTTGAAGTCGAGCTTTTCAAATCCAGTGGTTATTCTCACACAATCTAAGAAAATTTATAGTGGTTCGATGAGATCTTGAGCTCTTAGTATTGTGTATGGTGATTACATCTCATCTTGCCCAAGCGTTGGATAATATCTGCTTTGGATTTGTATGGCCATGTCCATCAGAAAACCCATACAATCGGTGGAAACGCGAACTGAGTGGCTTACCAGGTTGATGCTCTTGGCTAGAATTTAGTATCTTTGTTTTTGCATAATGTCATCTTTCAAGTCAAGCAGTGAGTGAGATTGAGCGGAAACCGATTTCGAATTTGGCTGTACAGCACGTTACTGCCCTGTTTCCTGGTTTGATCAATTGATGGGGAAATTTTGAATGGCAACGTAGTCTTAGACATATCCAATCCATGAAGAAGTTATGGGAACTACAATTGACCGCTAATTGTGCCTGTTTTCTAGCTATTTGACTAACTTGGCTATTGCTCTACTGTCACAGGAACCTAACTCCAGGTGTATTATCATTCCGGCATATGGTAAACGTGTGATGGCAGCCATAACACTCAATAGAGGGTTCCAGATGAACCAGCTTGTGCTATCGGCCGTTAGGACAACGGATGAACATGTGAATGGAGTGACATTAAACAACACCTATGGTTGGGTTGAACACATGAACAGTGCGTGTAAACTGCAATCCTTACAGCGCACCTGGGGGTGAATGCGTGCAGAGTATTATTCACCGCCGATCCCCCACGCTTGTTGCCTAATCTAGCTAAGGGTTCTAGGATACTCCGTGCTCTAGACCAAAAGCTGAAACGCACGAACGCGAGCTGAAATGCACGAGGATAGGGACCGGGAAGATCTCCTTCAGGGCGCCTTCTCATAGAGGTGGTAGTTACAAGGTGACCAAGGAACCAATAATGACCAAACAGCTAATATTGCCGCTGTTCTGCGCGTGCGATACGTCGCTACCGAGGTTGAGCGATATCGCTGCTCTTTTTTAGTATCGTGCCGAAGCTGCAGTGCTGCACTGTACAAGCATCCCACTGTGCCCGGCCAGCGAGCTCGGAGTAGTTATGGCTTGAATAGCTTGAACCCTGCATTAAAACTCAAAATTGTCATTAAGTTACACTTCAGCTCGGGTCGTGCCGCCACAAGGAGGGCTTGCAGCAACCGGGGCATTAGCTCCGGATCAATCCCACTTTGTGAAAAGAGGCAACGAAGAATGTAGAAACTACTGCCATCCAAGGGTGGGGAACGTAGTCCAGTTGGTTCGACAGTTAGTAGCTAGCCAGATAATCATCAGGTTAAGATATCTACCATCGGTACTAATACACTCGATCGCACGTGGTGTATATAAAACCCGTTCTGGAGTGGTCAGATTGGATGCCTCAACGGCCCCATCTGCGATGGCCAAGGAGATGAAGTGGGTGATGGGGCGGAGGATCGGGCCGTCTACTTCAGTGAAGAAGAATAGTGCTACGATGGCCTGCCAGCTTCTGGTTAGGGTCGTGGATTCAGAGGAGGGGCCGTAGATGTAAGATTACTAATCCAAACGTCAGCAAGCTTGGGGAGGGACGGTAATGAGAGACTGCGGTGGCCTCTTACCCCCAAAAAAAATGCTGCCGCACCCAAGCCCCCGGATGCGGCTACAGTAGCTCGCACATCCCTCACCCCCGAGTGAAGCGTGCGCCTGGTCGCAAGGCCCCTTTAATTAATTAGTACGACAACAACGAGTATTTTTCTTATAAAATAAATTAATAGAGTTATAGTATAATATACTAATAGTAACTCCTCGTTCTCTATTTAAAGAAATACCTCGTTGCGAGCAAGTTATCTCAAATTATAATACAAACTACTAATTACCCTGCTACTGAAAACGCCGCCGCTTGCGGCAGCGTTTTTAAGGAAATTGGGGGCAGTTTCCTTGTTCAGAACAAGTAATTTGGGCAGTGGGGGAGAGGGGCTAACTAATAAGGATCCCGTATATTTAATTAACTGCTTGCTGTGACGGCGGGATCAATGCAATGGTCGAAGGCTCAAAGTTCAAAGAATCTCATGTATTGGAAAATACTAAGCTGTGGAACAAAGTAGGGAGGATGCCTCGACCTTTAGTATTGTTCCGTCCAAGCAATTCCGGCTTAGCTTCGTTTTGTGCCTATTTCCGATATCCTGTCCTTGGCAGATCATGCCCTTACGCCAGCCGTCACATTACCCCCCCCCCCTCTAAAGAGAAGTCTAAATGCCCTTATTTAGGGGATTATTTAGCCGTAATATAGAAAAGAAAAAAGAGAAAACAATAGCCATTAACCCTATTCCGTCTAATTCCTATAGCTTACTTGTAATTAAAGTATAGTTTTAACTTCGCTAGAATAACCCAGTTCCTAGTATATTCCGGCTAGTTGTGACGGCGGGATCGAGGCAATGGTACAAAGGCTCAAAGATCCAGGAAAATCCCATGTATTGAGAATACTAAGCTAAGGAGAAGAAGGAGAGAGAGAAGGAAAGGGGATAAAAGGAGGGAAATACTAGCTAAAACCACTGAAACGCCGGCTAGCTAGGTGAAACCAGTCATGTGATAGCCACCCCCCTTTGGCCCCCAGCCAGCGCCGTTACATCACCCCCCCCGGAAACCAAATCTGAATGCCCTCATTCAGGTATATAAAGGAAATAGGGTTTTGACCAAACCCCCAAAACGGCCAGCTTTTAATAGTCACTGTCTGACCAATAGCCACCTCCACCTTCACCTGAGGCTCCAGAACTAGCCTCAGACCCAAAATCGTCTATAGAACCCAAATCATCCCCAGAATCGTCCGCAAAATCATCTATAGAACCGTCCAAAGAACCAAGCTCGTCCAGAGAACCGTCTATAGAATCGTCCGCAGAGCCCGAATCATCTGCAGAGTCCAAATCGTCCCCAGAACTATCCGCAGAACCGTCCAAATCGTCTGCAGAACCGGAACTAGCCTCCGTATCCGATTCAAACTCGGCTCCAGAGCTAGCTTCGCCAGGATCTTGTCGGCTCTCGGTCTCCTCAGACGATAAATTATCGGCAGGAGGACGTCGTATATAAGCCTCTGGGGCAGAATCGTCCGAATCATCCGAATCGGAGGAGTAGTATCGTATAAGGGGCGGCCGTACGAGAGGCGAACGAGGAAGAGGCGAACGAGGGAGAGGCGAACGAGGAAGGGGCGAACGAGGAAGGGGCGAACGTGAGATAGTTACTTCTGTTTTAAATCGGCGAACTGGAACCGATTACCGGGTTTCTTCCGTTTTAAATCGGGAACCCGAAACCGATTGGCGTATCTCTTGTTTTAAATCGGAGGATCGCTGATTCTTGGAGGGGGGTGCCGGTTCTTTTGCTCTCGTCGATATCGAGGAAGCGTCGTCTGCTCCAGTTAAGGGCCGGACTCCGAGGTCAACTAGATCGTAGAGGACGGGAATCTTTCTTCTTTTAAGTCGGCAGAGGACCGACTATCGGGTTATCGTCTGTTCTAGTCAAGGGCCAGACTCCGAGGTTGACTAGGTTATAGAGGATAAGGAACGTCGTCTGCTCCAGTTGAGGGCCAGGCTCCGAGGTCAACTGGGTCTTGGAGGATATATCTTTCTTCTTTGAGTTCGGGAAGATTGCCTACCGAACGTCAGGAGCGGAATTCTGTCTTTGCTCCCCAAGGACAAGTACGGGTCCTTTGCCGGCAGTATTATATCGCCTCTACAGGCCGAGTCGAGTAAGCTTAGTATTATATAACGGCGGGATCGAGGCAATGGTATAAAGGCTCAAAGATCCAGGAAAATCCCATATATTAAGAATACTAAGCTAAGGAGAAGAAGGAGAGAGAGAAGGAAAGGGGATAAAAGGAGGGAAATACTAGCTAAAACCACTGAAACGCCGGCTAGCTAGGTGAAACCAGTCATATAATAGCCACCCCCCTTTGGCCCCCAGCCAGCGCCGTTATACTAGTTCTTAGTATCTATTACTCGTATTATACTTGTACCCATATTAATAATATGGTCTGGGAGTACTATATAGGCTATAGCTAATATTAGGACCATTATTATTGGGCGGTCTTTGAATAGGGGTAGTAAATCAAATCTATTTATTAATATAGGCTTTAATATAGTAGCTTGCTTGCCTTTTTTCTTAGCTAAAGTAGTAATATTTGGCTTAATTATACTATTTCTAAGCTACTTAATTAATTTCTGGGCCTTCTTAAGCTTAATATATATATTCTCAAGTTATTCTTTTATAATAGAAATTTATTTATTAAGGGCGGCTACTTAAGCTATTTTATTATTAAATTCCCGGGCCTTAAGCTATATGATTTTGGTTTTATAAGAGCTTCTAAGGGATTTTCTGATTTCCTAAATAGTATTATCTACTAATTTATTAATATCTATAGGGTATTATTTCTTTAATTTGGCCTTTAGGATTATTTACTAGCTCTTGGTTTCAGACTAGTACTTTATATAATAACTACTACTTAGTATTATATATCTTCTAGTTATAATAGGTATCTTAATACTAGTTTAGTTACCTTTATTATAGTTAGAGCTTTCTTTATTACTAGAAGTCTTTCTATTCTTAGTCTTTTTATTATCGAAATTCTTATTATTATTTAATATCTTATATTTCTTAGATAAGCTAGCCTTATTCTTTTTTACTTTCTTAGTATTTGGCTCTATAAGATTAATTAGGTAGTTTTTATTAGTATTATTTATTTTGCTTATTTAATTATTAGACTTATTATTACTAATAACTAAAACTTCTATTTTATTATTTTTAGAATATTTTACTAAAATATCTTCTATAATAATTTCAGGTATATTCTTAAAAGTAATACAGGCTATATTTTATATATTAATCTATTCTTAGATAAGAGAATTACTATTTTTATCTATAAAAGTAATTTAGCTAGTAATTATATTAATAATAATAATAGCTACTAAACTTGAAATACTACTACTATTATTCAAATTATCTAGAATTTAGTAAATAGCCTTACTTAATCTGGCTATAAATAATATATTACCGGGATTTCTTATTTGTTTCATTT